TTCCTTGGCCAAAGAGAAGGAGAACCTAAGAAAAGATTTTGAGAAGACGAAAACAAAGCTAAAAGACACTGAATCAAAGCTTAAGAATTCCATGCAAGATAAAACCAAGCTAGAGGTGCGCGGTGGACCCAATTCTTCACTTAAGTAGTACTAGATATTTTGTCGCATAACACATCTAATTTTTACAATTAATTCTGATATCCTTGCAAAGGCTGAGAAAGCATCTGCTGAAAGAGAGTTAAAACGCTTGCATAGCCAGAAGGCCCTCCTCGAGAGAGACATCAACAAACAGGAGTCCTTTGCTGGTAAAAGACGCGACTCTCTTCTTGTTGAGAGAAGTGCTAACCAGTCGTTGCAGGTATTATCCAATGTTTTGTTTGCTGCATGATCTTCTTTTTGCCATTCTAATATTACTTGTCCAATGTTGGAAATGCAAAGTCGAGATATGGGAAGCTAATAAAATGTAAGAAATTGTTATCTTCTTGCAGCAAATCTCTCTCTGTTTGCTGAATTTGGGTATTGTTCAAGCATTGCATGAGCATATTTTTCTATCTTCTGGTATATTTTTCCCAGTGGAGAGCCGTATCAGTGTTTTTTGGTGGGTATATACTTTCCGTCCAAGTGAGATGCTCATTCCCATTTCTACTTCACATTTATCAGGAAGAATTTAAACAGCTTGAAGTGCTTGCTTTTGAAATGGAAACCACAATTGCTTCACTGGAGGAGGAGCTGGCCGCTGAACGTGGAGAAAAAAAGGAGGCACTCTGTAGAAATGAGGGTTTAGATTCAGAAATTACAGATCTGACAGAGAAACTGGAGCACTCAAATACTCAACTAGAACATCTGCAAAAAGATGTCACCGAGCTTGTACGTCTTTTCATGCAATTGATGATTGATCCATAAATTGTTGATATTGAATTTGATGCAGTTAGTGTTTTCAAGATGCACTGCGTTTGCTCAACCGTATGTTATGTTTTGTTCCAGAAAACGAGACTTGAAGGCTCATCTTCTGATCAGCAACAACTGGAAACCAATGTTAAGCAGTTGCTTGAAGAAAAGGAAGAGCTAGCAATGGTATGATGATTCTGACACAGATTCTAAACTTAGTTCTTGTTTGTATATAAATCCAGTAATATTTCCTGTTGTTCAGCATCTGGCGAACTCTCTTTTAGAAATGGAGGAAGAGAAAGCAATATGGAGCTCGAAAGAAAAAGCTTTAACAGAGGCCGTGGAGGAAAAGATCAGACTATATAGTATACAAATTGAGTCACTATCTAAAGAAATGTCAGAGGTATGTTCCAAACAAGGAACCTTTGTAGTGAGATTAAAACCCAAACTTTTCTTGCAACATCACTTTGGATGTTGCCCTTCAGAACTATCAACTTGTTTAACTTGCATAGCTTATCCTATCTATTTGGATCTATATTCTAGAGTGGTGGTTTGGAATTACCATGAGAAGTTCTGCATAACTGTCATCAGCATGAACTTTCTGTAGCGACGACCAAAAATTATTTTATTTCTAATATTTTCTTAGGCTTTCTCTACATATAATATATTTTCCGACGGAAAACCCTTTTATTGTGCCATTTTAAGTTCTCGATCTCATGATACTTTTAGGCAAAGAAGGAGCTGGAATCTTGTCGACTTGAATGTGTTACTCTTGCCGATAGGCTAAGATATTCCGAGGAGAATGCTAAGCAGGAAAAAGAATGCAGGTTTGTACTTTGCATTTCTCTACTTTAGAAAGTTAAAATTCTCTCTCCTTTTAAAATATTCTTGCTAAGCTTTCCGGCACTTGGTTGATCTGTACTCTAGTTGATGCTATATCTGTTCCGACTTCACTATTTTATGTTACCCTGTAGCCTGGAGAAGTCTTTGGAGATTGATAGACTGGGTGATGATCTTCGATCAGCTGATGCTGTGAGTAAGCAATCTCAAGAGGTAAGAATCATTTCACAAAAGGTTTCCTCTCTGAACGTCTGATGCAGAGGTTGTATTACATTTTTCAATGAGAAATCTAAATTTGTAATGTTGCTGATGACAATACACCTGACTTTCTGGTTATCGTACTCATGCTTTTGGTATGCCAGTTAAAAACCAGATGACATCACTTGAAAATTTGTTATGTTAAAGATGCAAACTTTATACACAAAATTGATATGTGCACCTGCAGGTTCTCAAGTCTGATATCGACACTCTAAAGTCCGAAGTTCAACATGCTTGCGAGATGTCAGATACATTTCAGAGAGAGCTGGATTATGTCACAAGTGAGCGCCAGGGTTTGCTAGCTCGCATAGAGGAGTTGAGTAATGAACTTGCTTCATCAAATCGTTGGCAGGTTTGGTTTACAGCTCACTGACTTGACTCTATTACAGATATAGTAGTAACCATTGATTCTCACTAAAACCCTATTACTGCCGTCAGATTGAAAATGCAAAAAATCCAATTGAAGAATTGACTCACAGAATCTCAAGCCAAGAAATCAATCCGTGCAAGGTAATGCCAAGTGAAATGTTTGATTGTGTTTTTTCTCATTGATTGAGATTGATTTCCTCCAAAAGAACCAATGCAAGAAACTGCAGTTTTAACAAGAGCCATTCTTGATTGTGTGCAATATGTTTTCCAATATAACTTGTTTTCATATTTTAACCATATTTTTTGCTGTATCTGATCGCAGGATGCAACTGCAGAAAACAAGGAGAAGGCAAAGCTAAAAATGCGACTCAGGGGTACGCAAGCACGTTTAGATGCAATCAGTCTAAGGTACAAGCAGTCTGTGCAAGAATCAGAACTTATGAACAGGAAGTTCAAGGAGGCATCTGCTAAGCTAAAGGAGAAGTTAGCATCAAAAGCACTCGAAGTTCTCGACCTCAAGAAGCAACTCTCTGCTTCTTCAAGAACAATGTGATGAGGTTATAACAACATAACTCTTAAGTAGTTGATTCACGGCTAGTAAATGTCTTAAAGCTGTAAACTTTTAAAGTGATTCACGTCATAATCACAGAGAACTGATGTGATTATGCAAGAGTCCAAAACATATATAAATTATGATAGATAGATTAACAAATTACATGGAGGTTATGTTGAAGTAATTAAGAAGAGATATTAAGGGCATTTTGGTCCACCGCTCTTAGTCTTCCAGTTGTTGTAGCAAGGACATACTTGCTTATTGCCATAAGTACCTGGAGGCACACACAAGCACTTGGTACAACATTTGTTGCAGAAGAACAAACATGGCTTCTTGTATTGTGTATTCGAGCATATATCTCCACACCTTGACCCGCACTCTAATATAGGTGGAATAACGGATTTAGTTTCGCATTCAGCACAAACATTCATTAAAATCTAGACTAGTAATTGGTTTACCTTGGGGTTGAAGACTGCCTTGAGTAGTACCGTACTGTCAAAATCAACAAGAAGATCCAAAGGATGTTAAAAAGGTTTGTCGATTTCATGAAACTCTTTTTTGAGTAGTGATGAAACGGGAGAAACTCACTTGAGAGCTATTGTGATACGGCAGTTGCGGTTGGGATTGTGGTTGTGGAGCAGGAGATTCCAAGTATAGAGGCTGTATATATTTCGAACGTATAAGATAAAGTTGATGAATATGAACAATAGAGGTATCCATAGATGGTAAAATAGAAAAGAGTGTTCAAACACTTACATGCATTTGGGCAGACAGAAGAAGATGTAACACAACAATGGAGAATACAATGGTGTTAAGTTTTGTTGCCATTTTCTGAAGACAGAAATGATTGTAATGAAGCTCAAGTAGATGGTTTATGTTGCAGACTAAGCTCATTATATTTATTCTATATTTTGTGATTTGTTCTGAATGTTCTTGCCTCCTTGGAGACGAATTTCGTAAAGAAAAAGACACGTGGTGAGAAAATTTGGGATTCGAAGTAGATTTCTCTGTAGGCTTCCCGTGACCTAATTGTGTTTACATGCCAAGCCATTTTGCATGTTCAGAAAGTGTGTTTTGTTTGGTTCAAAATGTTCATAGAACACTTTTCTATTTTCATTCAACAAAATAAATGTTTGAGATAGGTCTCAACTGTATCTAAATCTGAAGTGTATATTGATATATTCACACCACATTCAATGTGTGTACTTCGTATCAGTTTTTTTTCTTTCTTTTCGTTTTGATTATAACCAAAAGATTAATATCCAAACTAATCTCTAAAACTCATGAAAGTCTAGGTATTATAACCGTTGACTTGATCTACGATTCTACGTACCAAATTGTTTCGATTGGATACAGAATTGAAGTTATACCAATAGTTATGTACCCACGTTGACTTGACCTACCAAATTGCTTCAATTGTGAGAAGATAGAAAGAGAAGTATATAAAATGGAAAGTTCTAAAAGTGAACTACTAACAACGGTTTAAGACACAAAGATGAGCATAATTTTATTTGCTTCAAACCTTCCAGAATTGTTTTCAGGGAAGAAATATGACAAAAGTTTGTAACAACAACCACAAAGTGAAGCCGAGTAAGATGCAATTCTAGATAGAGATATGTTATCACTTTTTTTGTTATCACTTATCAGTATAGAACGATGCTAATTAATTTACGTAATTTTGGAATACATAATTATCTTTAAAATTTTGATTATTTTCATTTAATAAGAACATTTGTGTAGAATATATGGACCACTTTTTTGATAAAATTTACTCTTTTTTTAATACATTTGAGTTATTATACTATATAGTATAATATATTAGGGTAATAACATACAACAAATACATTTTGCATCTATTAAGCAAAAATTAAGATTTGGATTTTTTGTTATCTAGACAAAACTACTTTGATACTATAACTGTTTGAGACAAGAAAAAGTAAAAAAACAATTATTTAATATTTAATTGAATGGCTTTAATTTAGTTAAGGATGAGGAAGATGATGATGATTCGAAAATGAAGGTGGTGGAGAGTGCAAATGGCTGCTGAGTGCTGAGACACTCTGGAACACCCCCACAAACCCTAAAAGTCTAAGAATCTCCTCCGAATATATCCACTATTACTGGAACTGATATACACTTACGTTGCAATAAGAAGAGCCACATAAACAAAGAGTTATTGACCCGCGAAATCGATTTACCAATTGAAGCTTCCCATGGTTGGTTCTCTATCCGTCCCTTAAACTACTTTTGGGTTCGGCTATATTGTCTGAAAGATTGAAACTTTATAGGTATTCGTGTTCATCAATCGATTTTGTTTGCTTGCTTTGAAAATGGGTTGAGGTTGAACAGATATGAGTCTTCTTCTTTATTGTATTTCTATCTGTGGAGTTTCTAGAATCTTAGCATTTACATTATTGAGACTTTGAGAATACTATGAATGCTTCAAGTAGACAACTTAGTTGGAACGGAACTCAGGAAAGATGTTGTGCTTTTTGATGTAATCCAAGTGATTTTTGGTGACTTGACTTGTTTAATTGGATTTGAAAATCTGTATTAGCTATGCCCATTTTTGTACTAGGCACAGTTTGGGGGCTTTTGAGATTGAACAGTGTCATGAATGGAAAGAGAGAACAGATTCAACAACTTATCAAGCATGTTTTGGTTGCAGATTTGACTTTCCCTGATGCTCGTTTATGGGAAAGGGTTTCTAAAGTGCGAAGCACCTGGAATTCCATTCTTTTATGACAAAAGAAAATCCTTCTTCACTAAAACAAAGAGGGGCTTTCACAGTTTACCTTTGGGCACTGTGGATCGTGTTTATTTCAACAAAAGTAAGTTATATACACCACAATGCTTACACTTGTTTGTTTCATGCCTGGGGATGGTGTTCTTATTGCTCTGTTGGCATCTCTAGATCTTAGGTACTCAAGCAATTCAATAGAAGTTGTGGAGAAAGCTGCCATTGATATGGGTTCAAAGGAAGACAAGGCAGATAATCCAGCTTTATCTTCATATGATGATGCCATGGAAGCGCTGTCGACTCTTATTTCTCGTCGAAACCGTGGGGACCGCACACCTACTAGAGGAAATCGTGACAAGCTTGAACAAGTCATCACATATCTCAAGGTGATACAGCCATTTACAGTCAAACACTAATTAGGTGGTACTTTCTAGTGTAAGCATAAGCTCAGACGAAACAAAAATAAAATCATACAAAGTGTTGACTGTTGAAAATATTTTCAATATGGTAGTGCAACATGAATGTTAGATAACTCATTCTGAATTGTCTCAAGTGAGATCAAGGAATTTGGTAGATTTTTCTTCTCTTTGGACTGAGCTTTTCTGGGCCTTCTCTGTTGAGAGATACATGAATTATGTTGCCCCTGGCCATTGAGAATTTGGAGAGTTATGATTCAAGTCAAATTTCTTTCATCCTTTCCTTTGAAGACTTTTACCTTCATATCATGATTCATGTGATCCTTTGGCATCTTTTTCTTGTCAGTAGTAATCTTCCCTTTTCGTTGGTACTAAATACTGGGAATGTGTCTGCTGTTTTGGTTTGAGAAATACAGATTTTGGGCCTGGAGGACAAAATAAAAGAACTAAAAGTTATTCATGTCGCAGGAACAAAAGGAAAGGTAAGTTGCTTTTTCATTTTAGCTAATGCATGTCCTAGAATTTGCAAATTAAGTAGGTAGAAGGAATGTAGCACTTATGTGAGATGATGTCGTTTCCAATTTCGAGCAATTTGCACTTAATCATTCGGTGACTTAACTATCTATGCTGAATAATCATGGTATTCGATGGGACCATCTAATGCATGTCTGAGCCTGCAAGAGGCTATTTTTCCGATTTCTAAACTCTGGAATTCTTGTGGCCCATAGTTATAGCTTATGCGGTATGGTAGTAATATTGATGACTACAATATCTATTAGTAGCTACTGATTTTCTTGGGTTCTGGCTTTGTATTTGTGTATTTCAGGGTTCAACATGTGTCTTCTCTGAGGCAATTTTACGTAATTGTGGGTTTCGAACCGGAATGTTTACATCTCCTCACCTGATTGATGTGAGGGAAAGATTCCGAATAGATGGGTAAGTTCATCAATATATTAATGTTCAATGTTATATGAACACACAAGAGATGAATTTGAATGCTGTTTTGCTTTTCCAGCTTGGATATATCTGAGGAAAAGTTTCTACAGTATTTCTGGGAATGTTGGAAGTTACTGAAGGTAAAAGACCCTTTTCGATATGCAGTGCTTTTTGTTCCGGTTTGAGATATAGTCTTTAAGTATTATTCATTTCTAACTTTCTGCCACGAATTACCAGAAGTCATGCTCTTTGCATTGCTTTTATAGCAATTTCCCATTCTGAGTCTGTTCTGTTGTATTTATGGAATGAGAAGGTAAAGGTTTTTGCCTTGATTTGTAGAATGTATTGGTTGTATAACCTTTAGTGCTGTCTGTAGAAAACTGGTTAACTACGAGTAAAATACTCAGTGTAGATTACTAGCAAACAATGTAAAAATCTAATCGTGAGATTCTTTTTTGCAGGAGAAAGCTGTAGATGGTCTTACCATGCCTCCTCTTTTTCAGTTTCTCACAGTATTGGCATTTAAGATTTTTGTTTGTGAAAAGGTATATTACTATTCTCATCAAGAAGTCTTAGACATTTCATTAAGTTCCCATTGCATTGAAACCTAATGTGTTTAGCTCAAACTATTGTTCCTGTTAGGTTGATGTTGCTGTCATTGAAGTTGGACTTGGGGGAAAACTTGACTCGACAAATGTGGTTAGCATCTTTTGAGAATCTTATGTTTCCTGAGTTTCCTGTCATATTTATTTAATGTTGGACACCTGTCTTCATTAAAATGGAAAAATGTAAATTACAGATTCAAAAACCTGTTGTCTGCGGCATAGCTTCTCTTGGGATGGATCATATGGATATATTGGGTATGCCATATTTATTCTCAGTTCATTAGGCCAATGTAGTTTCTCTCTCATGCTTCTCAATGCTAATTCTACACAGGAAATACGCTGGCTGATATTGCATTTCATAAGGCTGGGATTTTTAAGGTACCTTCCGACTATAGTAGCTACTTTTCAAACAGTTTTTTTTTTGTGTGTCAGAATTTGATGAATGTAATAATTTTTGTTTCAAAGTTTTCCATTGGCAGTTTCATGTTGGATATTCTCTGATTTGCTCTGTTTTCTTGTATGCTAATGAAAGCCTCAAATCCCCGCCTTCACAGTACCACAACTCTCTGAAGCAATGGAGGTTCTTCAGAAAACAGCTAATAATCTTGAGGTAACTATAGTAGGTTCTATATTTTATCTCACTTATGTCAAGTGTTCCGATTAGTATAAGTTCAAAATGTTGTAGTTCTGATAAGAGTTTATCAAATACACATGCCACATCAGCATGTGTATATTAGTAACTAGGATCAATAGAACTAAGAGAGGCTTGAAAGTTGAAATGTGGAAAGAGGTATCAAATCTTTTAAAAATGGTTTGGGTTTGGGAGAGTTTGGGGGGTGCTCTAGAATTTACCACCAGGGTTTTATCTTTGGTTCCTTGGTGTCTTTGATTCTCAGTTTTGGAAATAAAGCTGTTTATGTTTCCAACCGTAATGTGGTTTTTGGCGTCTGTGGCTTAGTTATGCTGTTATAAAAAAACCGAACTACAAGGAAGATATGTTGAATGGTGTTTGGCTCGTTACAGGTTCCTCTGGAAGTAGTACCGCCTCTTGATCTTAAAAAGTTGGATGGAGTTGCGCTTGGCTTGTCTGGTGATCATCAGCTTGTAAATGCAGGTCTTGCTGTTTCTCTTTCAAGATGCTGGCTTCAAAAAACTGGAAATTGGGAGAAGATGTTTCCAAATGTTGGGTTTTGCTCTTGGTCATTAATCCTTTATCAAAATTTCCAAGGGCTTTATTTGGTGATCTTGTTTGTTTCTTTGGGATTTCTATAAACAGGGAAGCAAGGAAACTGAGATCCCCGTGGCATTTTGTCGCGGTCTTGCAACGGCACGTCTTCATGGGAGAGCTCAAGTTGTCCATGATGTAGTTTCAGATCCGCAGGACTCGTCAGGTTCGATGGAAACTCCATGCGGTGATCTGATCTTTTACTTGGATGGTGCTCACAGTCCAGAGAGCATGGAGGCTTGTGGTCGATGGTTCTCTTCAGCAGTCGGAGGAAACAAAAGCTTATCCACTGCTGTCAATGGTTACAGGAGACATGGGGAGTATGGTAGAGACTTTAACAGAGTCTCCAAACAGGTATTCAAGACCAACAATGATCAATGCAATTTCTTTGTTAACACAACTCTTTTGCTTTCTTCTCTATTCAAGGTATTGCAAATTGACTTTTGTGTGTTTATACTTTTGATCTGACTTTGTGAAGCTTTCTTATGTGTCAATAGATTCTTCTGTTCAACTGCATGGAAGTGAGAGACCCTCAAGTCTTACTTCCAAAGCTGGTCACCACTTGCGCTTCCTCGGGTAATATGAAACAAATTATACTCTGTTTTTCTAGTTTCTTGTTAATACTTATGCATATAGGTGAATGAAACACTCTCAGGCACTCATTTCTCAAAAGCGCTTTTTGTCCCGAGCATGTCTACGTACAACAAGGTTATTTCGGGTGCATCAGCGATTCCTTCGGATACTCGTAGAAAGGATTTGACTTGGCAATTCAGACTACAAAGACTATGGGAGAAATCAATCCAAGGAACAGGTAAGCTTAAGTATTGCTTCTTTGTAACTTGTCGATGTTGTGCCTAAACTTGATCATATGTCTGGTGACTAATCAGATGCTGCGCTTGACCATACACTGAAGCTCGATGGAATAACAGTACCACCTCATGATTTCCTGTGTGGAGATGCACCTCAATGTGGTGGAGCTGCAGGGACACAAGTCACTTCCAGCGCCGTAATGCCTTCACTACCATTAACTATAAACTGGCTACGGGACTGCGTACGCCGAAATCCTTCACTGAAACTAGAGGTAAGTATGAAAGTATGATTTTTGTTTTCAGAGATTTTAGAATAAGAACAGAACATTTCTCTGGTACCGGCTTTTCTTTGGTTATCGTGGGATTCTAATGGTGTCTTATGCAACAGGTTTTGGTCACAGGATCGCTACATCTAGTTGGAGACGTGCTCAGGTTGCTAAAGAGATGATTTACTTTTTACCAACAAATCTTAAAAAAAAGGCTCCTTAAGATTAATCTTACAGAGCTTCAATTGTTTTATACTTGACTTTTTTTCTCATAAATTACCATTATGATTCTTTGGTCCATTTTAGCTAACATGAGAACCCTCCTCTTAAGCTGTATTTTGAATTTATATTTCCTCTCATGTCTCACCAAATTCCAAACTATATATTGTCTTTTCTGTCAAATATGAGAGCATCCAAATAAACGCCGCATTTGGAGTATGATGAGCTGAACTTATAATTATGGTGTGGATTCTGAAAAGAGAGAGACAATATATAAGGAAGAAATTGGAATTTTATGTTAGGGCATATGCAAGGGTGCATCTTTGAAGTTTGATCTTAAGGGAGAAAAAATATTAAAATATTGTAAGAGCTTTAATTAAGATCTTTTGTAAAGTAAGTGATTATTGGTAGAACATGTTTAGATCATAGGAATTGATTTGAAATTGAAATAATGTAAGATCATTAGTTTACAATTTTAAAAACTTTAAGAAATAACTTTTAAATTGCAAACTTAAAAAATTTATACTAAAATAGATTTGAAAATAAAAAGAAACACAAAATATAATATCAAATTTTTATGAAACAAAAAAGAACATTAAAGATATAAATACAAAAAACAAACAAACAAACATATTATTTAATTAAACCCTAGCATAGATTTCGGATCGAAGGAGAAATGAAATGTTTTTTTCCTTTGCAAAAATTCGTAGCCAATGATGAAGCGCCACGTCACGCTAAAACTGGGCCAAGAACAGTTCTACAACAAGAACAGATCTACAACAGATCTAACACTATTCACAATATTTTCTATTTTTAAAAGGCTAAGAACACCTAAGTGTTCTCCCTTTAATAAGCTAAGGAACGTTCCTTAGCTTATTAAGGTATTAACTATTTAATTTAAATCACTTTAATACCTAAGAGGTGCCACGTGTCACGTTTTGATTGGGCGGATTTCACATATTCTACAGATACGCCTTCTAATTTTTTCGATAATAGAGCTCGAGTTGGTGATGGAGGTATGCATCAACAATTGAAGAATGATTTGGTCGAGCATATATGGACAAAATATAGAAGAAATTAAGTTTAAAATATTTGTGATTTATGTTATAAATTGTATCTCATGTATGTTTTAATTTTTTAAATTTGCAACAATTATTAAATTTTCTATAATTATAAATTTTATTTTTATATCAATATTTTTTTTTCTAAGAACCACATGTTAAGAGCCTACCATTAATCACACAAAAATCTTAACTCAAAAATACTATCTCTTAACAATCACTTTTACAAATAAATTATTTAAATATTACTAAGATCTATCTCTAAGGTATTAACTATTTAATTTAAATCACTTTAATACCTAAGATTCAGCTAACATCCCCCTATAATGATAAACTGAATTAGACGTAACATGGTCACATGAATACCCACCCAGCAAAGAAAACAAAGACGTCACTATCTCTCGAGGAAAGAATTCAGCTAAATTCCTCCAAAAAATAGGAAGAGTTACTGAATATTCTTTGAATATGCGCTGCATGACGCAAACTTATACGAAATAAGTTCAAGATGATTTTTGTCTTTTTTTATGGCTAACTATAATTTATTTTATTTAATATTCTGTCGCAAACTCAAAAGGACCTTATCTTTATGAAGTTGTTAAACAACATGAAAGAAGATCAAAAGACAAAAAAAAAAGTGAAACTTTCAATCGTCGTCTGATAGTACGATGAAAAAACCGTCGTTGTTTCTGATCATTCTATTGCTATCTCTTCCATTATTCTCAGCCGTAGGATGGGAACTAAGCATACCGACGACGACGGCGAGGACGGTGGGGAATCTTCGGGTGCGGGAAGGATCACCGTTCAAGATTGCAATCTTTGCAGACCTCCACTTCGGTGAAGACACGTGGACTGATTGGGGTCCTCGTCAAGATGTGAACTCCGTTAACGTTATGTCCGCCGTTCTCGACGCTGAAACTCCAGGTCATCATGTCATTGTTACACTGTGAAGTTGCCGTACAATAGTTTCTACCCTTATCTCTCATTTTTTTGATGAGTTACGTGATTTGGTGTAGAAAGAGTGATAACCACAAGTAAGGATGTGGTTTAGCTTTGGATCGGTTTGTTGGTTTAATTTTGAATATTTGGAATGGTTTGGTTTAATTAGATTGAACACACTACATCACCCTTAAAATCAATACTTCAATTTGTTCTTAAAATGTAGTGTGTTAAATTAGCTAAGCTTGTACAATGTGAGATTAACATAACTGAAATAACCGTGCTTTGGAGACATGGACAGATTTTGTGGTCTACTTGGGAGATGTAGTAACGGCTAACAACATAGCAATCCAAAACGCAAGCTTGTTTTGGGACAAAGCAATCTCTCCTACAAGAGACAGAGGCATTCCATGGGCTACTCTCTTTGGTAACCACGACGATGCTTCTTTTCTTTGGCCTTTGGATTGGTTCTCTTCCTCCGGTATTCCTCCCGTTCGCTGCCCTGCTGCATCGGATGATGATGGATGCGCGTTTAGAGGAACTACGCGAGTGGAATTGATTCGAGAAGAGATAAAGTCATCCAATGCACTCTCATACTCTATGATTGGTCCTAAGGAGCTATGGCCAAGCGTATCTAACTATTACCTTCTTGTTGAATCATCGGATCATTCAAAACCACCCGTGGCATTGCTTTATTTTCTTGATTCGGGCGGTGGTTCATACCCGGAGGTTATCTCAAATGCTCAAGTGGAATGGTTTAAAACCATGTCTAATACTCTTAACCCCGATTTAAGGTATGAACCAAAACATTAAAGCCATTTTTTGGTGGGACAAACTCGATATCAGTCGCTAAGTCGATATCGAAAGATGTATATTTCGGGCAGGATCCCAGAGTTGATATTTTGGCACATACCTAGTAAAGCATACAAGAAAGTAGCTCCAAGGCTATGGATAACAAAACCTTGCGTTGGATCAATCAACAAAGAGAAAGTTGCTGCTCAAGAAGCTGAAAATGGGATGATGAAAGTTCTTGAGAACAGATCCTCAGTGAAGGTACTGATTACTAAACACGAAATTTCCCAACATTTAGATACTGTAAAGTTTGATATAACCTTAATGAACTACATTTTGTGTAAGTAGGCAGTGTTTGTAGGACACAACCATGGACTAGACTGGTGCTGTCCGTACAAAGATAAACTCTGGCTTTGCTTTGCGAGACACACAGGTTATGGTGGATATGGAAATTGGCCAAGAGGATCAAGGAATTTGGAGATTTCTGAAATGCCCTTTCGTATTAAGACCTGGATTAGGATGGAAGATGGATCTGTCCACAGTGAAGTTAATCTAACATATGATTAGTCTATTTATTACATATGTCAAAACTTTGTAGAAGTGATATTGCCTAGTAATTGTTGGTAGGTTTGGTCATTGTTAACTTGTTAAGTGACTAGAAAAACCGATTTTAATAAGCCAATGTATGAACTCCGAACCTCCCAAGTAAAAAAGCTAAGTTACTGAAAGATAGTTTCTAGGGAAAGAATGCTTGATAAAACCCGTTAAGGAAACCGGAATATCTGCAGAATTCTGCAGTACATGATGGAGAATCTCTAACAAGAGTAATGCCTATGATATCATCTAACGACAACTAGCTTTTGCACATCTTCTCTGCTCCTCCTTTTAGTTAACATTCCCTAACTGCTTCTGTGCCTTCCACGTTGCTTAATAGGGACGCCGAGGTTGATGAAAAAGCTCAACTGGTTTTTGGCTCTATCGAAACATATACATTTGTTTGGAGAACTCAAAATACATTTCCTCTCTCTCACATCTTGAAGAGCTGGTTCCTCAGGATTGCAACGACAGTATCAAGAACCTCTTTATTTTCCACCAGATACTTCTCAGCTGCGTCTTTCCCTTCGATGACCTCGCCTTCAATGAAATAGCTAGTTCCTTCTCTTAAGATAACTCCATGCTCACAAGCCAATTCTAATACCTCTCGCTCCACGTAGAAGCCATGACCAAAGTGAATCCCCAATTCAGATTTCTTCTTTCCTGGCGCCAATTTATTCTTCACCACTTGGACGCAGACATTGAGACCACTTATCTGAGGAAACAAAGCAGTCAAAAGAAGATAAAGATGTTGGATTAAAATTAAAAAACGATTGACATACTGTTCCTCGTAGAAATTATGCAGTATTTTAGAGATTAAGGCAAATCAAGCTTACAATAACACAATGAAAACAATGTCCCTAACAATACCTTATCGTCAGTCTTTATTAGCCCGGTTCTTATCATTTTGAGACGTACAGCTGCATGAAACGGCAATGCATTTCCTCCACAAGTCACTTCTTCGGCGTGGGGAAAATGCATGCTAGATTTGACATGTGATCTGACCTGGATCAGATAATAAGCAGAGAGATGTTATCATTAGTAGGTGAGTCGATATGATCCAATTAAAGGAGCAAATGAAGATAAACCATAATACTTCTCTTACCTGATTAAGAAAAACGATCAATGTCTGAGAATAACCAACTGAGTAATGGATTTTTCTGAGCGCCTGTGTCATTATTCTTGATTGTGTGTCTTTGTATCTTTCTCCTACAGGAGCATCAAGTTCACATTGAGGGGCAAGAGCAGCAACCTGTAAATTCCACTTTTAATATTAACAGATGCAGAAAGAATACATGAACATATTGAGATGAAACAATGAAAACTCACACTGTCAACCACAATTACGTCTACTGACCCACTCTTGGTTAGCACATCAACAATACTTAGCATCTTTTCAGCAGAATCAGGTCGTGATATCAGAAGCTCTTCCGTGTTCACACCTATTGATTCTGCTAGAGAAGGATCCATGGCATTCTCGGCATCAAGATAAGCGCAATAACCTGGCACAAACAAGTCTTTTATTAGATAAATAAAAAGCTAATGGAGTGAAGAACAAAAGCAAGTCATTCAGGTCAGAATCAAAACTGTAACTTCACAAAATCGAATCTTACTTATCGCATTAGAAACAAGAAAGGAAAAACTAGAAGATATGTATTCCCAACTTAGGATGGATTCTAGAAAGTCCCAAGGTTCCTATTCGAACAAATGTATTAAGGATGAAAGATTCAAGAACAGTACCTCCAAGCTTTTGAGCTTCCTTGATGATATGAAGAGCTAGAGTTGTCTTTCCAGAAGCTTCTTTTCCGTAAACTTCAACCATTCTTCCCTTTAAACACACATTTAGGGACCTTAATGAGTTATAAAAAAACAATAATTTAGCTCGGCTGAGCCTATCTGAGACTCTAGAGTAAACAACCTTAGGCAATCCTCCAACTCCAAGAGCTAGATCAAGGTTGAGCGAACCCGTAGATATCACAGAAACTCTCCGTTTTCGGGAGAACCGCTGCAATGACAACTTAGAGTCTTCATCAAAATCACCTGCAAGCTGTGATAATGCTAAATGTAGAGCAGTGTCTTTCTCCGCTACTTTGCTATCATCTGGAACTTCATCAATTTCACAATCTGAAGCTTCAACTGACCAAACCAAACACATTCGTAAAGACAGGATACAGAGTAAACCATCCATGGGAATCAAAACAAGAAGAAGTGAAATTACTGATTACCTAGAGACGAAAGATAACGTTTTTCATAGCCAGAGCAAGCCAAAACGCCTCTTCTTCCATTCTGCTACAGAGCAAGAACACAGGGAGAGACATTTGTTTAGTCAGGAGCTTGGGCAAATCATCAATGTTACTCTAAAGGAGATAACTTTTTTTTGGTTGGAGCAAGTAAACAAAATGCAACTACTACTCAAGTGTTGTCCTAGTTTATTCATCTGAAAAATCAAATCTTTCTTTCTTAGTCATCAAAACTTGGAGCATTAGGGCATAAACTACTCAACCTAAGAATTGTTGAGTAGAACATTAGAGACGAAGAGAACCTGAGATAAGGAAGAGAAGAAACGTAATCTCTGAATCGGACTGGCCCATGAGAGTCGACCCATGCCCCGTTCTTCTTCAGGCGGCGCGTGTTCCAACAGACACGGCTCCTTCTCCTCTTTGGTCTGAACGGTTTTTTAACTCGCTGTTTGGTTTCAATTCTACAGTTCTGTCTTCTCTTTTCCTACTAACGATCTCCAGTTTCCGCCATGGTCATTGTCCTTAAGAGGTAAGACCTTAACCAGAAGTGGATACATAAAATCGTAAACCGTATTTAACCGATCGGTTCATGACTAATGAAATCTAATTTACCGGTATGATATGAGGACCGGAAAAGAATTAAATTTTTTATGGGAGGTGTAAAAAAATTTTAATTAAAAAATTGTTACTTTAGTCTTATCCCGAATATTTTTGCTCAAAGAAGATTTTATTGTTCTATATAGAGAATAGGAATAAAATAACCAATTCATCAAAAATTTGGAAAAATAAAATATATTAGGAAAGGCTAAAAAATAATCCAATTCAAATAAGAATAGAAGAATCTTTGGGAAAAATTTAGAAATATGAACACGAAATATTTGGAAAGTGTGAAAAATTAATTGAGAACCAAATAATAAGAAATATAAAAGAATAAAAATAGAAAATAGCCAAATTTTGCATAACCTAGTAATCTATTTATGAAGGAATTAAAAGATTATTGAATAAACAAATTGAGGGTTTATTTAGTTTTACATATTACATTATATATATATATATATATATATATATTAACAATACATCAATTCAAAAGAAAAAAAAATCAAGTATGGTAAAAAGTAAATTCAATTCGACATGTGTGAAAATCTAATTGACAATGACATATGTCGTGATTTTATTAATTAAAATTAATTAAATGTCAGATTTTTAATTTTATTTTTGAACAAAATGTCATATTGTTAGGAGATGTCTTAAGCTTTATAAAAAGATGCTTAGAATATATGTATAATTCAATTTATAAGCAAATCGCATGAGATTTGTATGCATAGAAATGCATATGATATGGATAATATCTTTTCATTGGATATTCATCATATTTTACAACAAAATTATTAAATTTACATCTCTATCATGTTAAAAAATTTCTGCCGCCACCACTAAGAGGGGAGTGCACTCAATGCCCTACATTGTAAGCAAAGGGAAATGAAATCATCTATTTAGTAATTATTTATTTTATCTTTGGCTCTAATTTTTGCACAAAAAAAAATCTTTGGCTTAGATCATCATTCATCAACATCCACTATTACCAAAGAAAATTAAAAAAAAAAACCCTGAATATTTCTTCCTTACCCACCCATTGTAGTTTTTTTTCTTAAACCCCTCTATATTATCTTTTTGAGTGTACATGAATCAACAACGGTCAACGAAAATGTTAAAAGCCACACTCGGTAAAAAAAGATACTGTTTTCTTGAAGGACAAAATTTCTGCCGACCAAAGAAAAAAGTAAACTAAAGAATCTAACCCACTTAGTTTTATCTCTGCTCTATGATCAATACGTTAAGTCATTTGGTAAAAATATCGTATGTATCGGGATCAATATGAATCCATACTTAAAATTTCTCGTTTACCAAGAAGAAAAATACAGAATTAGAAACATGCTTCATTGGTGGAACCTATTCGAAGCCCACTTTATCATCGTAAGCACTTTAAACTTAGTTGATGAAATGGACCACACTACCCAAAAATATCAACTTTACAAAAGCTTACGTTATCAAGAGGGCAAATTGGTTTATATGTATAAATGTGTATGTGAGATAGTGATAGATAGAGAAAGTTTGGTGAAGCTATATAGCTTTAATGGGCAAGTAGCGAGATAACTAAGTTTGTATAGAGTGTTCGGTTTTCTTGTTATAGATTAGGCTATGTATATATATGCCTTAACGGTCCATATTTTTCTGTGCAAAAATAATATATGCCGTATAAATTTATTTTAGGCCGACCGAATGCAACTTCTTTTGGGATCATCAGCTTTGAGCAACAATTCAAAACTAGAAAAATCAGGAAACTTAAGTAAATGCAAACAAATGAGGGCATTGTAATGCAAACCTCTAGGCCGGTGAATATCTATAAGGTAATGCGTTTTTACTAATCATTTTAACAAAAATAATGATAACATGTCGTATAGTGAGAAGATAAAACGAGTGAAATTGGATTTGTGGATTTCCAACTAACGAGACATTATAAATATAGGAAAGTAAGGCTTGCGGCATGTTAGCAATTAAAGAGAAAGGGCAAATTAAATATTCAAATGTAAGAATGATTATAGAAATCAAGTTGTGGTTCGAATTTGGAAGTGACATCCACTTATCAAAAGTCATTTGGACTCCTTTTGTGGTCCTCCTTGTGGCTCCACCTTTATGATGTAGGCAAGCGTCTGCTACAATCGTTTTCTTTTTGGTCAATAGATTTTTCGTAAACTTAATATTATTATTAGATTTGTGAATGGCCTGTAACAGTTGAAACTAGTGTGGTTAGATGTCTACTAAAAGTATAAAGTTGGTTGGTGTAATGCAATCACACAGAAAATGTTAATTTGTCTAACAAATCCAATGAAAATTTAGTCAATTTTAACTATATTTTGTTAGTTGAAAAGATAGAAAACTATCTTAATGGATAAATTGCTTAAATCAGTCTTATTTATAAACATAACGTTTTTTATATTGATTTTTAATCTTAAAATTTTTGATTCTTTTAACACACGAAGAGATATTATGTGACCTCCATTCTTATTATTTTAACCGACATGAAACGGAATCATTAGTGAAACAACTTGAGTATTCAAAACTATTTTAAGGCTGAAGAAAGTGTAGACCTCCATCCTTATTTTTTTAACCGACTTGAAATGAATCATTAATACATCGTATTTTATAAATGACACTAGCTCATATCTTCAAACCCTTCAACAATAACATCGGGGGTCATTAAACAATATACTCCATTATTGAAGAGTTTGGTGATAAATTGTGTATCTTGTAATGTACCACCTACATAATCATATACTCCTTCAAGAATATATAGTAAGAAAGTCTTTATAAAAAAACCTAACTCATAATTGTCATAAACATGCATTGGATGCAACGGTGACGCACGACATGCACTTTGAAGTTGGAACCATACCATCCATTGGGGACATTCAGACACGCATTCAGCCAAACTCCGTTATAATTGTTTTAAACAAAAAAAAAAATAGATAAACTTTTCCTCCATTTTAACTTGCTATTAAATCTTTTAACTTGATATACTCTAATCACACTAATCACATCTACCACAACCACTACATACTATTCCGAGATCTTTATGTGAAAATATCGTAATTCGTTTTTTTTTTTTTGTAATGTGAAAATATCGAAATTAGTTTAGGAGATCGAATTTTTAAAGACAGAGCATGATTAAAGGCAAGCTCTTATAGAAATCTTAAACTTTTCTTAACATTTAATGCAATATAATTTAATCAACTTTGTGCTTTAACGTTAAGAAACGTTCCTTAGCTAAGAGCATATATGGACAAAATATTCCAGAAACTAAGTTTAAAATATTTATGCTTTCTGTTATTTATGTTATAAATTGTATCTCATGAATGTTTTAATTTTTTTAATTTGCAACCATTATTAAATTTTCTATAATTATAAATTTTATTTTTATGTTAATTTTTTTTTTCTAAGAACCACATGTTAAGAGCCTACCATTAATCACACAAAAATCTTAACTCAAAAATACTATTTCTTAACAATCACTTTTACACATATATTATTTAAATATTGCTAAGAGGTATTTCTAAGATACTACCAATAATCATGCTCTGAGAGTACTACCGGACCACACCCCACCAAGACATATAAACACTTTCAATAAAAAAAATGAGATAAAGATCAATTAGGGGCCCATTGAGTTAATGGCATTTTTCGTAATACTCCCGAAATGCAAGGCCATTCACATAACCCTAAGGTCTATAAATATGCAAACACAAATCTCCAAAACTCAAGAGACAAAAAAAATCTCTAAAACACATCTACAGAAGAAATCACAAACTAAAGTAAGTAAAAACAAACAAATAAAAAGGTATGGGGAACTGTTTAGTAATGGAGAAGAAAGTGATAAAGATAATGAGAAATGATGGGAAAGTAGTTGAATACAGAGGACCCTTGAAGGTTCATCACATCCTCACCCAATTCTCTCCTCACTACTCTCTCTTTGACTCTCTCTCCAACAATTGTCATCTTCATCCCCAAGCCACGCTTCTCTGTGGGCGTCTCTACTATCTCTTGCCTAGGGAGACGACCAATATCAAGCACGTGAAGAAGACGATGAAGAAAGTCAGGTTTGCAAATCCAGAGGTGGAAAAAAAAGAAGAAGATAGATTAACAGATTGTTGTGACAACACCAAGGAGAAGACTAATGGTGTTGTGAGAGTGAAGATGGTTGTGAGTAAGCAAGAGCTTGAAAAGCTGCTTCAAGGAGGTTCTGTCCATGAGATGGTTTATAGGACTCTTGCTAAGCAACATATATGTGATGATGATGATGATCATGATGCTGATGATGAGTGTCATAAAAGCTGGAGACCTTTGTTAGATAGCATTCCTGAAACTGATTAGCCTATAGGATGTTCATATCTACATAAATATGTGACATATACTTATAAACATACATAGATAACAGAGACTCAAAGCCTTTGACAAAAAAAAAAAAAAAAAAACAGAGACTCAAAGCTTGTTCAAGAGAAACAAAAAACTTGTAACTCCCAGAAATACAGTTTCAAGGGTAGGTAGTAGTACATGAAACCCTTTTTGTAGAAAGTTTAAACTTTGTATTAAAACCCAAAAATGTGAATTTGTTAAGATGGAATTTTCCAAAATGTGTCTGAGTGCTTGTTTGGGTTAATTTCATAGCCTATAGTAGGCACCTCTAGTGGCCTATAAGCAAAGTAAAGATGCATCATAATGGTGGGTGAAGAAAATGGCTTCCAAGACCATTAATTACTACTACTCATATTCAACTATTCAAGTAAACGCGTTTTGTCTTTAGCACAAATATTTAACTGTGTATATACATGTATGTATGTATGTACTTGTGATGGGGCTAATCTTCTTTGCTTTCAACTTCCAGAGAAACCTCGTTGCGGCGCATAAACGGAAGAGTGAATGGTGGATTATACTGCAGGGAATGAATGCATTAGTGTCAGTAGAGAGTCTAAGCCATAAGATTTGATTTTCTTATTTTTAATCCATTTTGTCATTTATGATTGTTGATGAACCTGTGCAACTTCAACTGAAACTCCATCTCTCACTCGAAACTTCTTGTCATTATGAAGAGCTCTCCTTAGTTCTTTCTCCCGTCTCTCAATCTCTTCATCGGTAACATAGCCTGAAACAAAGTTATTTTTGTTCATTGATAGCAATAAAAATCTGATTATGTTAGATTCTTCATGAGGTACTGAACATTTTAATGAAAGATAACTATTCGGAACAATGATGAACATGTACTGAACATTATGTGTTTACATGTCAAGGTTATGTACTGTATATCACATATTCATGAGCATCGCGAGAAAAACACTTGTTTTCAATGTTTGCAATCATGAGAAGACAGGCATATAAAGCTGGAACTAGTTCGGACTTTGATTATTCAAACTAGAGTATCGTCACACATGGAAGTGAAATCGAGTATCTTTACCTGAGAAGGCGACAACAGCAACAATCTTTCGCGGCACTTCCTGGATTTTGACTGAAGGATCTTTTGGCAATGGCAAATTCGAGCCATACTTTGAGGGCATGACAAAAGACATTCGCCACTGGGTTTGATCTTTTGCCTGAAGCAACAGTATACAAATAAGATACTAAATTGCGAGGTCCGAGACAAGATAAAAAATGAACTAGAGACCACGTAAGAAAACAATTTTTTCTTGTGAGCAATTAACAAGTAGGTATCCCAGGTTCCTAGAACTTACATAATAGGAAAATAATAATATACACTTATCATTGATCTAGAGCATAGAAGTGTGATGCTCTCAATAAAATTTGAGAACATTCATCTAAGAACTTCCAAAAAGAAACCCTCCATGATCCATTGGTGAGATAATTACCTTGGTAGTAATTACTGGAGTAGTCATTTCCATCTTATCTCCAACAGATTGGGCTTTACGAGTAACAACAGGGGTCGTCATCTCCATTTTCTCCTTTATTGTGTTCTGTCGAAAACAAAAGCATCCAGATTTAAAGCAAGCCAGTATTCAAAAATCAAACAAAAGTGAAGCAAAAATTCATAACGAATGGTTCATAAGTACCTTACCAAATAGGTACTCAGCTAACACATTAAAAGACTTAGAAGCACCATAGAAGTCAAATCCAGTTTCCCCTGGCATTGTAGTCTCGGCCACAAAGTAAGGCTGCATCAAAGTGATGGCTTTTAAAGTGAGACTATGTTTAAACAGAGAGTGTGAATGAAAGTAACAGAGAGAAAAAGAAGAACAACCTCAACTTGTCTAATCTCGTACTTATCAGTCCTACTTACAACTCTGAATTCCATTGTCTCGAGATCAGGAACTAGATAAAAGATTCAAGCTTTAACAAATTAAACCACACACAAAGCGAAAGATAAACTAGATAAAAAGCTATGAACTAACCGGACATCAACGCTTCTTCAAGATTAGAGCTATTGAATCTCTTCGGAAAAACGTATTTCGCAGTCTCCACCGCCAAATCAGCCAAAACTGATAGAAACCAAAATTTTTTTAAAAAAGAAGCAAATAGTTATACAAAATTGCAGAAATAGAAGGAAGTGATGAAAAAGGGAACATTTACGGCGTTGAGAGACAGAGGACGCCTGAGAGGCGAGAGCAAAGACAAGAGAAACCCTGGATTCAGTGGCGGACACGGCTTGACTCTGCCGCTGCCGCCGGATAGCTCTGTTCATAGCAGCAATCACTCTCGCCGTTCTGACGCTAACTGAGCATCTCTGGTTAGGGTTTGGAAACGAATTGAGATCGATGGGCAATTTCTTGTGAGATGAAGAGAGAAGAAGAGAAAGGGATGATGATGATGCAATGGAGGAGGAGGAGGAGCTCATCATCATTTCTCTTCGCAATCAATCAATCTTCTTCCAATTTCCCAGAAACAATTTTTATTAATTAAATTCTAATTATCAAATTCCCGACCGCTCGATTTTGGTTCTCATACCATACCGGTAGATTTTTCTGGTCCTCCTCATACCAAACCGATTTTTTTTTTTTTTTTCTTTTCCTCTCTAATGTTAAGTGTTATTTCCAGATGATGAAACAAGAATTGATACTTATGCATCCTCCTTGTTCTGAGCAAAGGAATCATCTCCCTTGGAAGGAATTTTTATATCTTTTTACGTTGATATGGATCAATTGTAATTTTGTTAAGACAGGAAAAAAATTCTCTGGATCAAAGATGAAAAAACCAATAACTAAACGCCTAAAAAAAACACCACAACTCATGTCTCTTCTTTTTTTTTGTCATGAATCTCGCAGGATAAGACTCCGTACATAACAATAAATTTTAATATCATTAAGCGATGAAACACACAGAAACTGCATAGATCTTCTTTGTTATATATGAACCTCGTGGATCTTTAATATTTGAAGGGCGTAGAGATTGCACGTCGTCAGCCACGTATCTACAAAATAAAAGGAACATGAAGTGATTGTAAAAGCTTATGTAAGACATATATAGGTTATAGGATGTGCCAACAAATAAATGAACTTACTTAGATAACCCGGAGTATTCCTTACTTCCGACAAGGAACCACATACGTATTCTAATCCTTGTGTGGTCAACATCACGTCTAATGGCGGGGGATGAAATTTTATCCCAACTTGGCCAACACTAATTTGGAATGAAGAAGAGCTTTTAGCAAGGTCGGCTTCTCTAAACCATGAAGGAATGACACCACCCTTGCAACAATTTGCTACAATTCGCTGGTCATCATCAGTTTGTTGGGGTAAGTCCACAAAGGTCACCCTATGATTGCAGCACTCTCCAAATTTCAGAACATTACTTTGTTTTGAAACTTTAGCACCCAGAGTGCTCACTAGAATTTCGTCTTCGTACCATGTCCACCCTAATTCCCATGGCCCTTCAATGGCTTCTTGCTTCTTCAAATAGTTGAAGATTGTGACATTAGCCGTGTAACTATCACGACTTATATTCATAATGTCCCACCTTATTGTCACGTTCCCGACTAGGTCCTCTGATAAGAAGCATGTAAGATTTAGTTATTATTATCCACTGTTCTAAGATATGGTCTGTACAGCCATATATACGATGTACGGTGGAAAGCCGTACTGTATTATAGCTATACAGTTGTTTAAAACGGTGAAAGATATACGGTCCGTATATACGGTGAAATCCGCGTATATGGCGCTTTTTTTTTTAATGCTCAAAATAAAACTATATCATTTTATTATTGTTTGGGAAAATGATTTAACAAAATTATTGGTTTGGCTCTCAAAAAATTAATCATAACAATTAACTATAAAATAACTTTATTGCCATTCTTCTTTTATTATTTTTATGCTTATTAGTTATTTAAAATTTTAAAAATATTTTGTAAAGTTAAAAAATTTAAATTTTTTGGTATTCATGTATAGTATTCATCATGTTACTATATTTATGTTTTATTGTTATTATATATATATATATATATATATATTTAACAACAAATATCCACCGTATAGTCGGTGCTCCACCGTATGCCTAGCGTATAGCGTATTCTAGAACAATGTTATTATAAGATTTAGTTAGAAATCAGAATTACATGTTACCTTCAGGAGTGAAACTAAAGTTGGCTCCAATTCTATTATACCTAGCTCGACTCATGAAAGGCCCCCTCATGAAAGGGTAATCGTGCATATCGAAATCATCAGGCTCCCATGGAGATTGATTCATCTCAATAACATCAGAAGGACAGTCATCTTTATCCAAGGATGACCGAACCAATGAAGCGTTCACCAAAAGGAAGAAAAAGAGTAGTTTGACAGTTAAATATGCACAAGACATAGTTTGACACACCTTGAAAATAATGCTAGCTCGACGACGCAAGACGATCTGTCCAATAATATTTTCGTTTTGTAAATAAATAGAAGAAGAAGCTCTCGTCGAGATAAGATTAAAGTAACAGATTTTTATTATGTATGAATTATCTTCTTCTTTTCGTAAAAACTAAAATATCTCTTAATATCTTTATTAAAAAAAAATCTATTAATTTACTCTTACTTTTAAAATTTGAAACTTTTTTGTGTGTGTAGAAAATACGTGTTATTATCTAATAGTTGTTATGCAACGGAAAATAATAAACACGTGGAAAAATAGTTATATACTACGTACTGTATTAGTTAAGGATTTGTGTGTGTGTTTCTAAAGCCGAAACAATAGTGATTACAAAAGCCCAAAAGAAACAAGCCCATATGGCAAACCGAAATAGAAGGAGTAAGCTGATTGATTGCAATTAAGACGAGGAGGATGCAGAGATGTAATCTAAGGGAGAGAAGATTTGTAAAAAACACCGTTATTTTTGCATACTAATAATAAAGTTGGGGCTTAATGCAGTCACTCACACTTGTAAGATTTGTAACATGATTTGTCACAATAAGTAGGTATGATTTGCAGCTTTACTGTTTGTTTTGTAAAAAAAAAAACATGTAAAAATATATAATTGGAAGTAACAAAATCTCTTACAAACTAACATCCATATAAATAGTATTGTTTTTTAAAAGGATTAAAATGATATGAAGATATTTGTCCGGCCCTTGTGACTATAAAAATAAATATGTGAGTCCTAAGCAATTTGGAAGATATAGACTTATACTCAATTTTATTTATTTCAGAACCCAACAATTCATACATTGTATTTGTAACTAATCATGGATCACGATGACCCAACTCATCTTTAATATTATCATATAATTTACTACATTTGATATCTTTTAGATGAAGTTTCTGGTTCGGTATGTCGAAACCTAAATTATAATCTGCAAATACGGGTATGCCAATGAGATTTTCATTAATCGGCGACTCATGCACGTTTAGACAAAAATAATTCTCATCATCCTGCATGAATAAGCTCGGTGCCTCCATATTGATTTCTACCTTGTCAAATGTGAGGACAACTAGTAGAGGTATGTGTTTCGATATCTTCCCGCTGTAACATGTATCTCCGTCGATGCTTAACATATCATACCCCGCCTTAGTCATTTCCTTTACGATTTCCGTAAAGACAACACTATATACTCCTTTGACCAAACGAAGGCTAGAAGTTCCTGTGTCCAATAATGTATTGGATTTGGACAAATCATCGTCTATACCTAGATTTTTTCGATTGACGGTTATTGAAGCTAGATTGATTTTATATGTCCCCTCCTTTGTATCTAATGATATCTCCATTCCAGTGAATATTGCATTATCTCCTAATGAAATAAAATGCTTTTCATGGAGATTATCATAAAAGTTTCCTATGCAAATGGAGAATTTCCAATTAAATGAGTTCAATATTGACAATCCTCGTCCCAACTTTAATCCTAGGGTTCCCGTTCCAGCTTGCGGCCCCCCAACAGTTATTCCAAAGCCAAACAAAACGTTCTTTGACATGCCTAATCCTCCCTCGCCCGTTTCGAAAATAAAAGTTTCTCTACCTAGGATACCTCTATATGATGACTTGTCTGCGAGCTTTACGGCGTAATTGCATTGTCCTGTTTCTCGACTCGGGAAAATGGATCGAACGTTAACCAATCCGTCACAGCTTATGTTACTAAATGAAGATGACCTCGACGGATCATAATCAGAGGGCTTTTCGTGGAGCACCCATGTCAGATCAACACCCGTATCAATATGTAACTCCTCCTTTATTGGGGGATCTCCGATGGATATGAGAGCATAAGCTGCCGGTGGAAAAGGGTGAAGGGAAATGGGGATAATCTTCTGCTCATTGCTTCCTAAGCTTAGGGTTTTTCTTGGAATTTTCTTAGATATGATAGGTAAAGGGAAGGTAAAAAGCAAAAAGAACAAGACATAGTAACCTTGGTTGAAATTCATGATTTTGAGATATGAGAAGTTATGTGGTTTAAGAAATATGCTTTTGGAAGAGATTTGAAGATATGTATATATATATGTGGTTTATGATTGTATAAATACTAAGTACGTATTACATGGGCACAAACAAAACATGTTACTAACCATGTTATAAAGAAAAGTTCTTTATTCTGAAGCACTACCTAGGACTCATGTTACCAACCCATCTTTGTAAACAAAATTTATTTGTTGTGAAAGATATACCATGCACGCACGTTACCAACCAATTGTTATTTTGTGAATAGGATATTCATCACACATGATCGATGGATGCATAGTAATAGATCCTATTTGTTAAATGACACACGCTCAAATCTTCAAAGACACGATATATATATCTTTCAACAAGAACATCCGGAAGTCGTTAAATAATAAAATATTGAAGTTAAAAATTTTGATTTTAATTTAACCATTTGGTTGATCGATTATCGTGTGTAACACCTACTAATTAACTACTTGATACTATTGAAATCATTTCAATGAAATGGACAACACTATACCCTAACAAGGCTACAATATCAACTTTGCATAAGCTTTGGGTTCTTTGTGTTCTAGGTATTGGAAGAGATTATTGAGCCAAAGACCCGGAACTCCTACCGTTTATCGAAAAAAAAAAAAAAAACTTTGCATAAGCTTATAATAAAATCATTTTATAAATATACTAAGTTGTTAATAAGTTTACTACGTGCAACCATAACCACGAGCTCGAGAGGAATACCCTCCATGGATATGATTGTAGACTTGTAAGTTGTAGCGAATGAGTTGAGAAACCACCATTGGTTGGGACAAGAGGCTTGAAATTATGCCATGGAGAAAATAAAAGTCTCTCAGGCTTCAAAACAGTACGTGATAAACAACTTGGGCCAACAAAACACAAAGGGCCTAAGTGTTAAAATTCCCGTATGGATCCATTGAGGGGAAACCAAAAACATACATGAAACAAAATGTAAAGTCATGAATTTCTTTTATTCTCGCAGAGGAGTTTATGATCCATTTAGGTATACTAGCATTTCTGTTCAGTTTCAGTTCGGTTTCTCTCGATTCGGTTCTGATTCCGGTTCGATAGTTTGGTTAGATTAATGTGTCCAGTATTAGGCAAAATCACACCTAAAATTTAGCTAGTTTTGAAACACCAATAAGGATGGGAGAATCGTTGACAGCACTTAGAAAAAGCACGGCCCACATGATTTTTGTTTCTGAGTTTTGACAATGTGTTTAAGAAAACTACATTTAATGAAGCTTTAATATATTTTCATATAACTTTTGTTACATTTTTCTTTTTTCGGAAAAATAAAGCCCATTCTTTAGTCTAGTGGGCTTTTGGAATGTTGGAGCGACTCTGATTGTGTTGGTTCACACCTAGGTATGTGCATGTCGTCTTCCATGTCACTATATAAAAAGAACAAAAAGAAAAAAGTTAAAGAGAAGCAAGACAATAATGATCAAGAAAGAAAAGTTAATACTAGAATTGGTCTTAAAAAGATGAATTATAATATGATAAAAATGAACTTACTTTCAGATCCTGGACTATTCATTGTTTCACTAAATGAATCACATTGGTATTCAGATCCTGGTGCTATGAAAGTCAAAGACTGCGGTGGATTAGCTTCTGTTCCAACTCGGCCGACAGTAATTTGAAATGAGGCGGAGCTTCCGGCAGCAATCACACCGCCCTTGCAACAATTTTCTACTCGTAGGTCATCCTGTGTTGCTACCGGTAAGTCAACAATGGTCGGGTTATTCAAGCAGCACTGCGGAACATCTGTGTCTTCAAATGCCGAACAGTCCCCTTGTTTTGTTGCTTTAGCACCGAGAATGCTCCATATTATCTCTTCTTCATACCATGACCAACCTAACTCCCACCCTGGCGCCTGAATAGAACGATATAGCTCGCTGTTCGTGATTGAGACATTAGCCTGTTTGTTGAGTACAAAATTTCCGTCAATTGTATAAGTTAGCCGGAAAAATTTAGGGTTTCATATTGTTTTATCGACGTGTATGAAACAAATCTACAATATGTAAAGTTGAGTACGTTTCGTATAAGTAACATGATGGAGATGATATTGACATGTTAAATATTCCAGTACATTCCAAGATTTGTTGGTTAAATATGCCAATAGTTAGTATATTAGAAACCTATTGTTTAAGGCTTAACTATTTCAAATCTTACATCTTCAACTATCTTTTTTTCTATCAGCCACACAATAATTTAGAAAATCACTCCATGCATCTTCAACTCTTTAAAACATATTGATTTGGATCCATTTATTTTTAATAAAATTTTCCACGATAATTATTGAACAATATAGAAAAATAGGAAAAATTCTTACCGTATAGCCGTCCATTGTATACGTCGTAATGTCCCACACTACATCGATTTGGTCATCGGCATAAAGACCAAAACATGTTTGTATGTATAGAAAAGAGAGAAATAAAAATGGCAACATCTTTAGATATATTGTATATTTGTTAGTATTTACAAAGAATACAAGAAAAGGGGTTTTGTGTTTATAAAGGAGGTGATTCTTGTTAAATAGTAGGTTCTCATACCAACAGAAAAAAGGGTCTAATTTAGGATAAGATTAGGATCCAAGACACAAGCATGTGTGTGTAGTAGTAGTATATAGTGTATGATTAGGTTTAATTTGTTGTCCTAATTACTAACTAAGAACATCCTAAGTTCTAACTCCTCCATTAGGAAAGACAATTATTAAATCCCTTATCTAATATATATTTATAAGCCATTTTATTATATATATATTATGTCATCTAATTCTCTTGGGTTGTACACTTTATCATTGAATTCTTAAACTTTTGACTTTTATTGTTGAGATAGTCACATGGTCTAACCTGATCAAACACTGATAGAGGAATGATTGAACAAATGAAGGAAATTGTGGGAGATGTGATATCTAATTGTTTGCTCAACTTTATCGTTTTTTGATGTTATTTTATTGTTAGATAGAATTTTCTAGTGCTAGAATACCCGTTTTTATGTAGTGCTAGAATATCAATGTCGACATCAAGTGTGTAAACGTATTCTCTGTTTCCTCTCTACAACGCTATAATAATATTTTGATTAATGTCTAGTTTTTCTTCGGATATTATTATATTATACGCTAAGAATTAGGTATACCTACATTTTTCTTATAAAATTTGACCAAATATTTGTGATAAGACTGGAGCAAAGCTTTTTTTTAATATCTATTAATCTACTTAAAACTCTGAAATCTTTTTCTTGAAAAAACAAGTTACTAAATAGTAAATACACGTTGCAAAATAGTTATATGTTGATATGATGTAGCTGAGTGTTCTATTCTGTCAGAATATCTTGAAGAGTTACGATTGTTTTTCTTTTTCTTGATGAAGATTTTCCTAGACACGATTATTCTCTACTTGTATTTATCTCCTTATATCTTCTTTAGATTCTCCCCTCTTGGGTAACTATTTATTTGCCGAAGTCTCATACTATATATTTATTTATCATTTAGTTCTCTTTAGCCTCCCAATTATTTAAATCTCTAACTTCTGACTTTTATTAAACCTATAAATGATTGTTGAGATGGGCACATGTTCTAACTTAAGTGTAGGGATCTGTTAGGTTTTAAAAAGTTGGATCACACCTTCATTACTACAATGGCCTCCTTCACATCTTTCACATCAAACTTAATCATGAGCTACTATTTACTTTTTTCCATCTCACTTTACTTTAAGCTACTCTATACTTTACCCAATCTCACTAATCGTTGATATAATACACATAATCCACAAGTTTTGCATATCAATTAAGGATAACAATTTATTACGTCTAAATCCATCATCATGATGAAAATTCTTTTCGTTTTCCTTGTTGCCCTATCCACTTATGTCACAACGGCACTAGCTAAACCGACTCGTCCATTGGTCATCAAACTTTTCCGGCAAGACACATTACTCGCCGATATGAATCAAAAATTACACAACAACAGGGAGAGCGGGGAAACCATATCTCACCTGTCTCCTAATCTCAAGCCGGCGGTGTTTCTAGCAAGGTTTTTAATTGGCGAGCCACCGGTTCCGCAGTTGCTTTATGTGGACAGTGGGAGTAGTTTCACCTGGATCAAGTGTAGCACATGCAACACTTGTCATTCTGAACTTCAGTTGTATGATCCAATGGCATCATCAACGTACAAGAGTGTGAGCTGTGACGACTCATCCTATGAATCCGCTCCTGCGCTATCCCCCGTTAAGAAAACCGGAGAATGCCATTACCGCCAAGAATACTTCGACGGTTCAGAAAGCGCCGGCACTTTAGCTCAAGAAACAATAAGAGTTGAGACCGATGACGACGGATTATACTCGGTGGTAGCTGTGAAATTTGGATGTGCCCACAGTGTTAATGGATTCGACGTTGGTAGTGGGTTGCTTGGGCTATCATACGGAAAGTTGTCAGTTTTAAAAAACTTTGACAACAAATTTTCCGTATGTTTCGGGACTCTAAGTGACCCAAATGATCAAAGCTTCCTAGCATTAGGAGATGGAGCAAGAACCACCGGACAACCAACATCACTATTTATGATGAATGGGCATTATCACGTCGACCTCGAGGTGATCAGCGTCAATGGAATAATTATTCCAAACCACTTGAGACCCATCAAAGGAAACACAATCATCGACACAGGGACCACAATATTAAACTTGGCTGGGGAATCGTACCGTGAGCTCAAGAATCATATCGACAGCCTCATTGACGAAGAGCTAAACAGCTTTAGTGATGGCCAACTGGAATGTTACAATGGAACAGTTCAACGCCAGCTACCTTCATTGCCTACGGTAACATTGACATTCTACAAGGGAGCCTCTTTAGAGTTAGATCCAACTAGCTTATTCCAACAAATTGGAGAAGAGTATTTCTGTTTAGCTGTGATGATGAGCCCGGAAATCAATCTTAACATCATCGGGACAACCGCACTTCAGAAGTACAACATCGGGTTTGATCTTGAAGATGAAACTATCTACTTTGAAAAAATCTCGTGTGATTTGCTTTACTAGATTTAATTGCATTCTCTACGAGATATAAAGTCATGTTTAATATGATTTGTAAGAGATTTTAAGTTTGTAATAAGAGCTGAGCTTTCTTAAATCACGATAATATAAAAGATATATAACATATGTTTTCTCTTCATGCTTCGTCAAAAATTATAAACAGAGGTACTAAAGTCATAATTTACATTTCTTGATAATTAACATTCATATTCTTGTTGCAGTTTGATATTGAAAAGAAGGTACACCAACCTTTAAATTTTGCATCTACTAGAAGAGCATCTTATATTTTAAAATTCTTGATTGAGTGTGATTGATGGTTGTCGTTGTTGATCACCGTTTCTACCTAATTAGTACTTAAGCTTAGCTCATACATGTTGAGATGCACGAGATATCAACAAGTCAAGGCGTGCAATATATATGAATCAGTACTATTTGTTTCTAATGGGGTTGTGTTCACCTAATTTCAGGAAGATCAATAAGGTAGGGGACGCAAATGCAATGCTAGCATTGGAGAAAATACCAGTCTCATGAACTGTAGCATATTTTTATGCTCATAAGCAGTGAAGTAATGTTTGATGCATTAACATGAGTTTGTAAAAAAATTTTAAAAAGGACAAAAGCATAGTAATCTTAACAAAGCGGTACTTAGCAGAACAAGAACTACTAATGTAAATTAGACCGAGTTTTATAAAAATTTGAACATGATACTGCTGGTGAGAGTATGTGTGAACTTTCAATGTTCAAATAAAATGATGTTCAGCCAAACTTTCACCAAAAGCATCTTGCTCATCCAGAGACATATTTTCTAACAACTTTGATCGTTACAAAATTTAACGGTCTTAGAATTTTAATTGTTACGAATCTAATGGTTACACGTGTGTGCTCACGTGGTAGAGGAATGGAGATGGGCCAGATGGCTCCAGCTCCACCTTCTTTCGAAACACTAAAGAACCGGTTCGGTCTGAGATTAATTGAACTGATTACGGTCTTAAAACCGGGTCAAGATTTTAGTCGTATAAGTTCTCTCTCACGAAACCAATTAATAATTCTTGTCGCGTCTCTCGAATTAGGGTTCTAGTATCTCTGCTCTTTAAACTCTTATCGCCGCTAAAACTCTCTACCCATCGCAGAGCCTATCTAAAGGTTCTCTTCATCTCACTCAATACTGAGTACTTATGTTTCGTTTCTATATGTTTTGCTTCTGATTGTCTTTATTCTGTAATCGCTTTGAGTCGTTTATGGTTTCCCCCATTTGTCTGTAATGTCCATGCTCTGTTTACAGTTTCCTCTCCGGCTTGTCAGATATCAGTTTAGTTCCTGATTTACTGAGAAACCAAGCTTTTGAACTTAAGCATGTTAGGGTTCTTACATTGATTGAGAAATCTTATAAACTGGTTTTGAAATTTATTTCTTTCTGGAATTTCTTTTCTTAGTCTGATTCTAAGGTACACTGCTAGATATACTGAATAGGATACAGTCTCTCATTACTTACCCTTGTCTCTGTTCTTTGGAATCTATCCGTAGGATTCTCTCTTTCTTGTTAGATTTATGAGCCCTAGTTCCACTCAGTTAAATGAAATCATCTGATATATACAATCTTCTAGCTTCTTAACTCAGATGTTGCAAATTTGTAAGTTGTGCATTCTGCAATGGATCCTTAATTGAGAAGCTGTTAAAAATCATTTGGTGATGTCGTCTTCAAGTTTTTTTGCTTTCACTGATTAGTGTTTTTGAAGTGTTTTATCTGCTTTGTTTGCATCTGTTGTTCTCCAGAGCTGTGATTGGCTTATAATACAGTCTTAATTCAACTGTGAACAATATATTTTTCAGGATTTTCACTTTATGTAAAACAAAACGCGTCTCTGAATGTTTTTGGTATGTTGAATCAGAATGGATTCTCAGATCAAGCACGCTGTTGTAGTGAAAGTGATGGGAAGGACTGGGTCAAGGGGTCAAGTGACTCAGGTTAGAGTGAAGTTCACTGACTCGGACCGTTACATCATGAGGAACGTCAAAGGACCAGTCAGAGAGGGAGATATTCTCACCCTTCTCGAGTCTGAGAGAGAAGCTAGAAGACTCCGTTGAATTCGTTCTTTGCAAATTGGATAATTGAAGTCTTATTGTGATGTTAAAAATTTTAATTATCAAAGATTGATGCTTTAGACTCTTCTATCTCATATTAGACATAATTTCTCTTATCTTCACTTTGTTATTATAAAAGAAATAAGTCATGTTTCACACTGGTAACGTTAAAAATAATAATTTTATATTGCGTATTATAGTTATTATTTAATCACTAAAAGTTATTGAGATTGTATTAAAGTTATTTATGATTACTGGAATTAACTAAAACGTCTTAAAAGTTTTGTAAAATTTGTAACAGCTATATTTGAAATAAAAAATCTGGTCAACAGTTAAATGGAACGTTACTTCAATTAGTAGTCAAATTTAGATACTAGTTCATAAATTACTTATGGAACTATGTGCCATTAGGAGCTATAAAGGAACAAAGAGAGCATAGTTTCTGTTTAACCAATCAAAGCTTACTTATCACAAATCATCTCACCTAATATTGCATCCTTACAGCTTGATCATTTATCAAAGTTATGAGGTCTGCGACTTTGTTTCTATTTTCATGTGTTATCATGTACCTTATTTTGAATTCGGTTCCAGGTAATATATCAATCTTCTTTTTTTTTTTTTTTATATAGCTTTGATTGGTTAGTTGCAGATTAGGAATTTGATTGCAAAAAATAGTACTACAATAAATAAAAGGGGAAAGGCTCTACATAATGGTTTAATAAATAAATTTGTTGCGTTTCCAATTATTCTAATAAAAATTTCCTTTGATTGGTTTAAAATAATAGAGATGGAAGCTCATAATACCAAAATGTGCAAAATCGTTGGATCTTGGGAGGGTCGAAACTGCACAGGTGACGATGAAGCTAAAAATGCTACGTGCGTAGCAGCTTTTGCGGAGACACAAATAGTTGTTACTAATTGCACTTGTAATGAAACTAGTTACGCTGGTCTTATGTGTAGGTGTCTTAATCCTTGTTAGGTTTTAAGATAATTGTATAACAAAAATATATTTACTATTCTCTTTTATACAAAAGGGGAGTGAATGTATATTTTGTGACAAGAAAAAAGAAAGAAAGTGGAGAGTTCTATGCCTTTCTAAATCATCCATACCAACATCTCTAATTTTTACTCGACATACGCCTCTTATATTAATGATTTTTTTCTTTCAAAAATAAAGGCAATATTCGTAAACTCAAATGATAATTTACATTACTTATTTTATTCTCAAATAATAATATATACCATTATATCAAAATGTAATGCCATTCTCACATAATAATATAGTAACTTTTAGTCCGTTCGTGATGTGATTATTTTGAAAGTCACTTATTTTATTTCTAATTCATTTCATACAAAACAAAATTTCTTAGAGCATACGCAGTGCAACATCTCTTAAAGAGATGTTGATAATATATTTATTACTTTTTTTTTTTAAGAGAGAGAGAGATTTGGTTATTAGTGGAGAAAGAGAGAGGAGAGAGTGAGAGATAGATTTTGTCACGTGGGACTTACAACCGGGGTGTAAGTTCACACCCTTATTTCGATTCTCAGACAACTTTTGCAATAAAACATGTTATTTTATTACTTACACCTGTGTATCGAGTACACCATTGCGTATGACCTTACAATCAAGGATTTTTTGGTACTTCTCGATCGTCGCAGATATCTAAAGGCGCATGTGATTTTGTCTCTCTATCCTCATTTCAAGAATCTTTTCTCTTGATTCTTAAGGCAAGGACAATAAACAGTTAAACACTACACAGATTAAAGAGACCGACGTATTGTTAATATGTTCAAGTTATCCAACAATACAAAATGTTTATGTACATATTGAAACTAAAGTGGAAAGGAAATTAAAAAACAAAAAAACACAGCTCTAACAATAATAAAAAAATTAACTCTCATACGAATTATAGTTTTTATATTATAAAATACACAACTTTAGTTTTAACTAAATCAGTTGGCAATTGTTGGATATAATTTCAACACAAACCCAATGAAATATACCAAAATCGAAAATAATTGTAAATAAACTCTGAAAAGGTTGTCATCTAACTAATGACACAAAGAACGAAATGATGGATGATTGGATGGAAATGGTTAAGATTTAAGAAATAAGATCCCTAAAAGAAAGAATTAACGCGAACTACACATTTTTAGTAGGAAACTATTTTTTGTAAGGACATATCAAATATAGTAATATCTAGTTTAATTAGCGTTATTCACATACTTATATTTATAAGCTATATACAAAAAGGTATTTAGTAGGTAAATATTTTTCCTAAGGATACATACTTTATCGATATTTCAAATAATTACCATAACATCTTATATTAAAAAATCATCCATTTTTGGTTTACTTTCTTTTGTTTAATAACTCATATTTATTCTATAACTTTTTTTTTCTTTTAATTGTTGCTTATACAATATAATGCTTATATTTTGTTTATGTTTTGCTTAATTTTTTTTTTATTTTTTTAGATTTTTATTTTCTTAGTTCATTAGTCAAAAACAAAGCAAAAATTGCTACTATATCGTGACATTCATCCTTAGAAGCCAAAAGAGTGGAGAAATAGGTGTGTTGGACATGATAAAAACAAGTAGAAATTAGGTGTTAATATGGTTTAAGAGAATTTTATTCCAAAATAGAGTTTATAATGAAATTGATTGCTATTAAATTAGTTACTTGAATGGCCAATATATGCAACATAAATTGTAGGTACCAAAAACTTTATAATCGGCTTACATGTACCAATAACTGTCTTTATGATCGGCTTACCCGATCCACCAACGACTTCCTTAATGTTGAAATTTTTAACTACCAACTTTGAGAATATAAGTAAGTAAAGAATTCAATCGTTAATAACTTACATTAACAGCGCATAGTTTCGAAGTATATGAACATAGATATCGAACACACGCTTACCAAAACTGTAGAATAAGCTGTCGTCGATAATGATTATCTCTGAAAAATGGAGACTAACAGTATAATTTCCATTAGCAAGACAGAGTCTATAGTAGGTCAACACGAGAGGAGATATCCTAGATGTCTTGTAAAGTGCAAAACTGGGAGATGATGCATTCGCTGATATCCTTGAAGTGTTCGATGTCGTATAATCGTCCACTTCTGTAAGATCGTCCATGAAACGACCGGTGCTGCTAAAGGCCAAAACACATTGTAGACCCTTTTTAAGTTTGTTAGGAAAATAGAGATTAGAATTATGTTTTAATCTTTTCCCTTTTTTTAGATAACTATAAAACCCCATGACACACTCTTAAATACCAATATACTAATTAATTATTTAAACTCTGTTTTTTTTTTTCGTTAATTGCCGAAGATGTATTTTGTTAGTTAAGTCTGTTTTTGTTATAATGTGTGTATTGTATGTAAAAGGAAAAAAAAAACGTAAGTAATGACTTTCAAATGTATCAGATGTATCAGAAAACAAACGTAAATTGCATTGGACTTCAAAATTCACTAGTGTCATATGTTATCAGGAGCAGATGAGATCACAACCTTCTCCTCGATCATACGCACCACCTGGCTATATATCTCTGTGAAACGACTTTAATTTAATAGCAGAACCTTCATGAAGAAAGGCAAGTCCTTTTGCTATGCCCAAGTAAATATTTCGCCTTGTTGACCATTCGATCTTCACTATGAACTTCTCATCTGCAAAATAAAATCCCAAGAGATATTTAGGACTCATGTCACCTTTGAGATTTTCCTAGGCTTTGGAAAATGAAAAGTTGAAGATACGTACCAAACAATGCACGAGCTAGGCAGTTATTCTTCAGATACTCGTACACCAAAATCAATTGCTTCTTATCAACACAGCATGCATAGAGTTTAACAAGATTTGAATGTCGTAGGGAAGAGATCATCCCTATTTCATTCAGGAACTCCTGGCTTCCTTGACTAGAGTTTGACGACAGTGCTTTAACTGCAATCAAAGTCCCATCTGATAACACACCCTGCAATAAGAGAATTAACTTTGATATAAAAATGTAATGAATCCTTAGTTTTAATAAAGTAGATAAACAGAGAAAGTTGAGGGAGAACCTTGTAAACAGAGCCAAATCCACCTTCACCAATCTTGTTTGCTGGATCAAAGTTATTAGTGACTGCCTTTATATGGTCCAGTGAGAAATTTTCAGTTCAGCTCCGTTTGGTCATAGGCAATTCAAATAGAATTAATATCTATTTTAATTAGCGTTACTCAGATACTTATATTTATAAGCTATATACAAAAAAGTATTTAAAAGGTAAATATTTTCCCTAAAGATATATACTTAAACGATATTTAAATAATTACCATAACATCTTATATTAAAAAATCATCCATTTTTGTTTACTTTCTTTTGTTTAATATCTCAAAGTTATTCTATAACTTCTACCTTTTTTATTATTTTAATTGTTGTTATACATTTATGTTTTGCTTATGTTTTGCTTATTTTTTTATTATTTTTTTCTTATTTTTTTTAGATTTTTTTCTTAGTTCATTAGTCGAAAATACAACAAAAATTGCTACTATATTGTGACATTCATCCTTAAAAGCCAAAAAAGTGGAGAAATATGTGTGTTGGGACATAAAAAACGAGTAGAAATTTGGTATTGATATGTTTTAAGAGAATTTTATTCCAAATGGAGTTTATAATGAAATTGAATGTTATTTAATTAATTATCTGAATGGCCAATATATGCAACATAAATTAGGGGTACAAAACACTTTATGATCGGCTTACATGTACCAAAACTGTTTTTATGATCGGCTTACCCGATCCACCAACTGCTTTTTTAATGTTGAAATTTTAAACTACCAACCCAACCTGTGAGAATATAAGTAAGTAAGAAATTCAATCGTTAATAACTTACATTAACAGAAGAGTTTCAAAGTATCTAAACATAGATATCGAATACACGCTTACCAAAACTGTAGAATGAGCTGTCGTCGGTAATGATTATCTCAGAATAGTGGAGACTAATAATATAATTTCCATTACCAAGATAAAGTATATAGTAGGTCAAGACGAGAGGAGATATCCTAGCTGTCTTGTAGAATGCAAAACTGGGAGATGATGCATTCGCTGATAGTCTTGAAGTGTTCGATGTCATATAATCGTCCACTTCTGTAAGATCATCCATAAAACGGCCGGTGTTGCTAAAGGCCAAAACACATTGTAGACCCATTTCAAGTTTGTTTGGAAAATAGAGATTAGAATTATGTTTTAATCTTTTCCCATTTTTTTAGATAACTGTAATACCCCATGACCCACGTGTAATTATAAATTAAATTCTAAAATACCAATATTATACTAATTAATTATTTAAACTCTGTTTTTTTTTTTTTGTTAATTGCCGAAGATGTATATTGTTAGTTAAGTCTGTTTTTGTTATAATGTGTGTATTGTATGTAAAAGGACAAAAAACGTGGCTTTACAAGAGAGGCAAAGTTGATCCTACTGAATTTTAATCCAAATAACAAAGTACTCCACATTTTGTTTTGGAACTCTAAAATGCGATTAATAAACATCTCAAAGCAAAGCTAGCTAGGTATGAATCAGTTGCCACAACCAAATTCCTATTTACATGATAAAGAAGATTCTGAATTTCGAACCCGATAAATCAAATAACGAGTATCTGTAAAATTCCTACTAAAGAAAATACTATATGTAGAAAAATTGTAGATACAAAACATAATGATGATATGGGAGCCATTGTTCATCATTACCTGATTTCTTTATTTTACTTCCGTCACAAGCATAATATAGCAATTCATCGCATGCCTTTCTCACCATCATTGTGATAATGTAATTAACTCAATTTAAAGATATTTGGTTAAAAATATGTGCGATCAACTTCATCCAAAAGAGATGACAAATCAAAAAACAAATTGAGGTTGTTTTATTTACCCATTGACTCATCTTCCTAAATACCTTTGCAACACCGAAAATTGTTTCTCTCTAATCATGCCTTGGATAGTAGTAATATTTTTATAACATCAATATATAACAAAAAGCTTAGGCAAAAAATTCGCCATTTTGTGACTATTTATATTCTCCAATAAATTTTATCATTGGTCAAACTATTTTTAGTTAGATATTAAGGTATGTTTTGAATGTAAAAAACACAAAAAAAAAAATAACTCAACTAGGTTTTTAAATTTTGTTTTTTAGTCAAAACATCTTATATTTTGATATATAGGGAGTATTGTACTACAATTATTGATTTATTACTTTAACTGAAATTAAAAGTATTGACTTTTTTTATATAAAAAAATTGTATTAGTTATACATGAATAAAAATTCGGTCAACAGTCAAATCAAACATTAATTCAATCAATAATCAAATCTAGAGAATCTAATTCATAAATTACTTACGGGCTATAAAAAGACAAAGAGGGCATAGTTTCTTAATCACAAAATCATCTTACTGAATTTCACATCCTTACAGCTTGATTATTTTACTTAAGTTATGAAGTCTGCGACGTTATTTCTGTTTTCATGTGTTATGATGCTCCTTATTTTGAACACGGTTCAAGGTAATATATGAATTCCTCTTTAGCTTTGGTTGGTTACTAGCATAATTTAAAATTTTGATTGCAAAAAACAGTAAATGAAAGGTTATAGATCATAGTTTTGTTATAAATTTGTAGTGTTTCAGATTATTTATTTAAATTTTATATTTTGATCGATATAAAAATGATAGAGATGGAAGATCAAAAGGTGAGGAAGTGCAAAATCACTAATGTTTGGAAGGAAGATGGTCGACATTGCACTGGTGATGCTAAAGCTAGAGACGATATGTGTATAGAAGCTTTTGCGGCTTTAAAAACAATTGTTACTAATTGCACTTGTGATGAAACTAGTTACCCTGATCTTACTTGTAACTGTCTTGCCGATTGTGAGTTGTGATAATGTGAATTAAGTCACTTTAAAGATATTTGGTTAAAAAGATGTGTGATCAACTTCAATCCAAAAGAGATAACAAATCAATAAACAACTGAGGTTCTTTTACCCATTGATTTCTTTTCCTAAACCTTTACCACCGACAAAAACGATGTTAATTATGTGTCTCTCGAATCATGCCTTGGATTGTACATAACAAAAAGCTTAGGCAACAAACTCATCATAGTTTATATCATGGCATGCGCACACAGCACGCCTAATACGTGCCTCTGCTTCTGCCCAAGAAATAGATTTGGTCCATTTGGTTAAGCCTAAACCAAAATTACATTATAAACCGGGGTTGTCACCGGGATCCGAAACCTTGGACTCCAGTTATATTTCCAATTTTATGCACAACTGTATTGATTTGAGATTAATTTGTATCTTGGATTTACATAGACGAATAGTAAATTCATAAGAGATTTGTCAATCAAGCCAAAAACGGTTTTATCAGTCAATGTACCGGCCTAACCACTCCCATAACCAAAATCACATATCCAAACATGGTTTTTCAATTGTACAAAAACCCACACCTTAATTTCACAGACGAAATTTGGTTGATAAAAATTAACCATCTTAACCAGTCTCTCATTTACCCCCTCCAAATATATGCTTATTTAAACCGGACGTAACACAACTCTTCTTCACATGCACCTCAAGTAAAATGGAAGCAAACACTCTGTTTCGTCTAAAAGCTCTTTGTCTTCTCTGTTTCAATGTATGCTTCACATTAGCTTCCGACCCTGATCCCATCCAAGACTTCTGTATACCAAAACCTATGACATCTCCTTATCATGACCATCACTTCTCCACCAATCTCCCTTGCAAAAACTCCTCCGAAGTAACCACCGAAGATTTTGTCTTTTCCGGTCTAAAAACTGCCGGAAACTTCACGGAGACTGGGTTCGCCACCGTCCCAGTAAGCCCGGCAAACTTCCCGGGCCTTAACACATTAGGCCTGTCGTTTGTCCGGGCTGATCTCAAACCAGGATCCATAAACCCACCACATTACCACCCGCGGGCCACGGAAGTAGCCCACTTGGTTAAAGGACGGGTTTACTCCGGTTTTGTGGACTCGAACAATAAGGTTTACGCAAAAGTGATGGAAGAAGGAGAAATAATGGTTTACCCAAAAGGGCTTGTGCATTTTCAGATGAACGTCGGAGATGTTACGGCCACGATTGTCGGCGGACTTAATAGCCAAAACCCTGGTATTCAGAAGATACCGTCGGTTGTTTTTGGATCAGGGATCAATGAGGAGTTGCTTATGAAAGCTTTTGGGTTGAGTCTTAAGCAGATTGGTACGTTGAAGAAAAGATTTGATCCTGTCATGTCTAATGAACATTGATGTTTTCTCTTAAGTCTAACCGAGATTATTATATGGAAGTTATTTATCTTTATGTGATGGTTCTTGATCATAATGTTATATTATATATTTTGACCCAAAAAATGGTCATCTTTAGTTAGACAATGTTTCTTTCCACATGAATTATTATTATCGCTTATCCACACTTCACATTTAGAATCTTGAATTATTATCACTAAACCTACACAAATTTGGCAACGTCACCAGCTTTGAAAATTTGACAATATCTATCTCCAATCCACAAAATATATCAAAATCAATGCCAGTTCTTCTTTGTTATAAGGCTCTAAAGGCTGCAAAAATCCTCCAATTTGTCGTCACACTAGCTAATTTGATCACTGCACTCTTGGACATATGTGAGAAAAAGACGAGATTTATTTGACACTAGCTAACTTGGAAGCTACACATTTCCTGCAATAGAAGAAACTTTAACTTGCTATCTGAGCATAATGAAACACTGCGTTTTAGCTCTCATTTTTTAAACGTTGCGTTCCATCATCCTTAGGGTTAAACTCATCGTTTTAACGAAAAGACCCTCTCTTTCTACAAGACTGTTGTTTCTCACATAACAGAGAAGGAATTGTTAAAGCCGGTATATTATATACTCCATATCGAGCTTTGCGGTTTCGGTTTAGTTGTTTAATACGGAACCGGAAATGCCGGTTCAATTAGATTTTCTATAACCTCAACATCTCCATTCCCTCCACATTCACAACCTTTTCATGGATCAGCCACGGCAAAGCTCGACGGCGTCTCAGCCACCGGAAACACCTCCTCAGCCATCAGATTCAGCTTCGAAACCAGCGACTTTAACACAGATTCAACCACCGCCTTCTACAAATCCGAGTCCCTCCTCCGTTGTTTCCTCTATTCCTTCTTCCCCAGCTCCACAATCACCATCGCTCAATCCAAACCCTAATCCACCCCAATACACGCGCCCAGTGACATCTCCGGTGACGCAACAGCAGCAACATCTCTCCCAGCCTTTGGTACGGCCACCTCCGCAGGCGTACTCGAGACCATGGCAACAACACTCCTCTTACACTCACTTCTCCTCCGCTTCGTCGCCATTGTTATCTTCCTCATCAGCTCCAGCCTCTTCTTCTTCTTCTTTACCTATTACTGGGCAACAAAGAGGTGGCATGGCGATTGGCGTTCCAGCTTCCCCAATTCCGAGTCCTTCTCCTTCTCCTTCTCAACATTCGCCTTCTGCTTTTCCCGGCTCTTTTGGGCAGCAATACGGCGGATTAGGTCGTGGAACTGTCGGAATGTCAGAAGCTACGTCCAATTCAAGTGCCCCTCAGGTGGATTTTTTAATTCTCATATTTGTCACATTTCAAAGAATTGTGCTTGTTACAAGAAAAATACCAACTTTTTTCTTTGTGTGTGTGTGTTCAGGTTAGAATGATGCAAGGAACTCAGGGAATTGGGATGATGGGGACACTTGGCTCAGGTTCCCAAATGAGGCCGAGTGGGATGGCTCAGCACCAACAGAGACCAACTCAATCGTCTCTAAGACCAGCTTCCTCCCCAAGTATCCAATCTCCTGTTGCCCAAGTATGTATTTTTGATCCTTCTGGCCTCTGTACCTTGAAAATTAGGAACTCCAGCTTTGTGACTCATTGTTAACAATAAAATTTGCCTTGTATGATTTGGGAATAATTGTTCACCTCATTAGCTCAAAACTTGTGAAGTACTAAGATACAAAGTTTCTGTATGACTTAATAGCAAATTTTCACTACTTTCTTTGATTTGCTAATTACTCAAATGTTCGGATGGCTGGATAGAGCTTTAGGTGAATGTTACATGCTCATACAAATACATCAGAGCTTCCTTTATATAGTAACTTTGAGCCACCTAACCTTGCATATCTGTGTTTTGTAAGCTGAATTGGTTACTTGACCAACATCAATTTGCTTTTCTTGTAACTCTTTCCTCATTGTAATTTTGAGTTTGTTTGACAAAACTCTTCATGAACTTTGTTTGCACACTTTAATTCTTTATATTTTTATTTTGGCAGAACTTTCAAGGACATAGCCTTATGAGACCTTCACCTATTGGCTCTCCTAGTGTCCAATCTACTGGTGCATCACAACAAAGCTTGCAAGCCATTAATCAACCTTGGTTATCATCTACTCCCCAAGGGAAGCCGCCTTTGCCACCTCCTTCATATAGACCACAAGTAAATTCTCCCTCCATGCAACAAAGACCTCATATTCCTCAGCAACATCTTTCTACGTCAGCAGCAACTTCACAGCCTCAGCAACTACAATCTCAACAACAACATCAGCCTCAAGAGCAACTTCAACAATTGAGATCTCCGCAGCAGCCTTTACCTCACCCACATCAACCAACCCGGGTCCAAGGGTTGGTAAATCAGAAAGTTACTTCTCCGGTAATGCCAAGCCAGCCTCCTGTGGCTCAACCAGGAAACCATGCTAAAACAGTTTCTGCAGAGAATGAGACATCTGATGATCGTATCCTGGGGAAACGAAGCATCCATGAGCTACTTCAACAGGTATCCACTGACCTCTCTTTATATTCTCAACTTTGGGTAGCCATTTTGCATATTGACCAGTATGCCAGTAATACCTCCCATAGAAAGCCAAAAAGCATGCATGGTGACTATGAACAGATTCAGTAATAACATATATCTATAGTTATAGGGGCTACTTTGATGGTGTTCTACACTCAATATCTCTGCATGATATCCATTGATTTTTTCTCTGAATTTAAAATGCCTTGCCTATCCACAGATTGACCCGTCAGAGAAATTGGATCCAGAGGTTGAAGACATCCTTGCTGATATTGCTGAAGATTTTGTGGAATCAGTAAGTAGCCCACACCACATTGGTTAAGAGTCAAACATTTCTGTCTTCTGATGAGTTTTTTTTTTTTCTAAATCCTGCTCGTTGTGTTTCCTTTTACCCAGATCACAACTTTTGGCTGTTCTTTAGCCAAGCATAGAAAGTCAGATACTCTAGAGGCTAAGGACATCTTGCTCCATGTTGGTTCGTTCTGATCCATATTATCCGTCTGCCCGTTTTCTTTCCAATTACAATGATTAATTTATTTTTAGTATCTGTTCTCCTTAAATATAGAAAGAAACTGGAATATCAGGCCTCCTGGTTTTAGCAGTGATGAGTTCAAGACATTTCGAAAGCCAGTAAGAATTAGAGATTTGCATTTTATCAATCGTCCAATTTACAATATAGTTGCTAACTTCTTTGTTTGTTTCCTTGGATAATGTTTTGCAGTTGACAACAGATATTCACAAAGAGCGACTTGCCGTCGTAAGTTTTAAGTAAAAAAGCATACATGATTTTAACCATCCTACCTAGCAAACAGTATTAGATTATGGTACTGAGTAGAAGATAAGCTTATATATTGAAGATTTTTCTTGTTGACTTTGCATATCCATTGTGGGTTTTGAAGATAAAGAAGTCGGTCACGGCAACAGAAGCAGCAAACGCCAGGAATCAGTTTGGGCATGGGACTGCTAATGCAAGAGGCGGTCAGTCAAAGACGCCTTCTAATCCCTTGGGCTCTACAACTTTCAATCACTGATATATTAGATCAACCCTCCAATCGTGTTTTGTAGGAATTTTCCATTACAAAGGTACGAATGTTGTAACACCCATTTTGTACTTCATCTTGATCTTAGTCCAAGATAACTACAAGCATGGAGGCTAGGCTAGATCTTAATTTTAACCATTAGTAAAGTATCTGACCACCTTATGGGATTGAATTGATTCAATGTTTTGCAAAGCACAAAGGTGTATGAATTGAGAGATGAGAGATAAGAGATGAGACACAGTTATAAAGCGGTTACGAAACCGGACTAGCCGGTATTATCCATTAAACAGATTCGTCTCATACAGTTGAATCTTCCATAGCTTTGATCAGTTTTATACTTTTACTGATGTGTTGACATTGGGGGGAGTGTACACAGAAAATCTTGGTACAATTTTGGCTTCATTAGTCCTTTTAGCCTTCAACGATCTTCACTGGCGTCCTGCAGAATAAAACCGAAAAGAAAGTTTTCAGGGCACGTTCATTCGATCAATTTTACCGGTTTTTAGTTGATTGTTTTCACTTACCCGAAAGGACTCTGTTTGATTGATAACAGCTCAATGTCAAGCTGCAAAAGAAAGGTAACATAAATGAACACCACTTTTGGAGCCAACAAAACTCAAATTAATCCAACTTGGTTACCTCTATCGTTGCATTTGGAGGAATCTCTTGCACTCCTTTCTTCCCATAAGCCAGCTCAGGAGGAACAATCACCAGTCTCTGTATACAAACCTCAGCGGGTCATCAAAACAAGACTTTGAGTGGCCTGACTTTGTAAAGCCCTTTCGGTTTCAAAATCTAACCTGACCACCTACACGCATCCCTTCAACACCAAGATCAAGTCCTTTCAGAACATTGCCTCTCTCTGATTGCCCAACGTCAAACCCATAAGGCTGCAAAAACTCTTTAGTATCAGTAAAGGATCCTTGCATATTCAAAGTACAGTAATGGATTCTGTGAGATTTCCTTAAACTGACCGTTCCGCCTCCAACGCCAAGTCCTTGTCGACTTGTCATGAACGTTATCCCTTTCCATTTTGCAACATAGTGAACCTGCAACACAATCCCTTTGGGTTAAGCGTCAACGCTTGTTAAAACTGTTAGCATTTACATGTCTAAAGTTAACCAGGAAACGTATTCACAACCGTACTGCGACCCGCGATCCTTTCACAGCCTCTGCTCCGTTGCCAACTTTTATATCATAGTACCTGGAACAAAATAATTAGAAACCAAACTATTGATTTTTGCGATAAAGACTCTTATCCTTCAATCCATTTTGCGGTACAAGTACTCTAACGAATTCAAACAAAACTAGTTGCATTAGATTCCGGATTGTAGGCGGGAAGGCGAGTTCTGAAACATTTCAAAGGTCTCATAAACACTGTTTTCAATCTAAACAATGCATCATGCATGATCTTGGGGTTATGTAGTAAAGGGAAAATGTACGGACTTGAGACCATTAGGGAGAGTCGTGAATTCGCTTTCCGGTAACTTGGATGCACGAAGCTGCAGAGAATTGTATGTAAGAGATTGAGTTTTGAGTCAAGAACACAATTTATGCATATAGATATCTATGCTTACAGCTCTTCTGCTGGTGCTTACGGCCTCGGCTGAATCAGTTGACAAAATCCCAGACGCTGTTTTGATTCAGACAACAACTCTTTTAAGAATTTTGAAACACTGATTGAAAGCTAGCTTAAGTGGAGATGTAAAGAACTGATTAGAGAATAATCTAACCGGTAGCGAGGAGACATCCAAGTAAAACCCTTCTCCCTTCGAAGCTCACAGGCGCCGGAGAAATGACAGTCTCTGGTCTGATGACCTTTTCGCAGCCGGGAGAAGGTAACGAGCACCGGTACGGTTTGGATTGACTTTTTCCTGCAAATTATAACAAAACCAAAACAAAACAATGTTTAGCTCAATCCGTGTCTTGATTCTTGGTTCAAAACATACAAGTAGTTGACAGAGAGAGATAACAGATGTGTGTACTTGATGGAAAAGGAACGGAGGAAGACAGAGAGTGATGGAGAGGGTGAACAAGTTTCATTGTTAAGATCATTGTTTCAATGTTTTTGTGTTAGTTTACAAATTCTTGTTGTCTAAAACGAAGAAACTAACTGATTCTTGCCTTCTTTCAGGGTGTGCCCTTAATTGTGTGTGAGACTAAGAAGAAGAGAGAAATGGATAAAACTGGAATTCTCATCCACAAGTTCTAGATTTTAAGATTCTCTCAAGTCACACCACCATTTTACAACCAAATTTCTTGTCGGAGACCTTATAAATAAATAAATCTCTTTTTTTTTTTTGCTAAAGAAAAAGGTAAACAAAAATTTGATTACAAAATGTAGGAATGATCCACCAATTGCGTCCATTGTCGTTATTAATTACATGCAATAGATTAGGGACAATCACGGAGTAATAGTTTTTTTAAGTTCGGTTTGTAATTTATGTGTCCGGTTAAACTGATATAAAGACAAAAAAAGTCCTGGTTAATGTTTGGTGAGAATCGGTTTATAAAAGGTTTTAAAACCAAACCGTGCACAGATAGTTTTGTTTGTTGTGTTGTTAAGAGCCGCCACCACCACCTGCTTCTCTCTCTCTCTTTAACTCTCTCTAAACCCATGGATTCCGTTCGGCTTCCAACGGCGCCATCCACTCTCCGTAGCCACATTCCCCTGCCATCAAAACCAGTGATCGGAATCACTCACTTCAACCGTTCTCGGATCCCAGTAGCGGTTATGTCACGAGACGAAACATCTATGGCTCCGCCGCCTCCCAAGGCTCCTTTGCCACGTCTTAAGGTCTCTCCTAATTCGTTGCAATACCCAGCCGGTTACCTCGGTGCGGTACCAGAACGTACGAATGAGCCTGAGAACGGTAGTATCGTCGAAGCTATGGAGTATTTGACGAATATACTGTCTACTAAGGTTTACGACATCGCCATTGAGTCACCACTTCAATTGGCTAAGAAGCTATCTAAGAGATTAGGTGTTCGTATGTATCTTAAAAGAGAAGACTTGCAACCTGTAAGTTAAAAAGCTTCTCCCTTTTTAAATTCTTTGATTGCATTGTTTTTTAAAGGTTCGTGATTTATACATTTTGGTTGATTTTTAGCTGAATCATGTATGAAATTGAGGTTTATGTGTTGTTGTACTGAGTGGTGACTGGACTTGTTTCAGGTATTCTCGTTTAAGCTTCGTGGAGCTTACAATATGATGGTGAAACTTCCAGCAGATCAATTGGCAAAAGGAGTTATCTGCTCTTCAGCTGGAAACCATGCTCAAGGAGTTGCCTTATCTGCTAGTAAACTCGGCTGCACTGCTGTGATTGTTATGCCTGTTACAACTCCAGAGATTAAGGTATTTTGCCATTTCTTAAGCTTTCTCATTCCCTGAAGTTAGTATCTGATGGTATTCTGGGATTTGGAAAAACAGTGGCAAGCTGTAGAGAATTTGGGTGCAACGGTTGTTCTTTTCGGGGATTCGTATGATCAAGCACAAGCACATGCTAAGATACGAGCTGAAGAAGAGGGTCTGACGTTTATACCACCTTTTGATCACCCGGATGTTATTGCTGGACAAGGGACTGTCGGGATGGAAATCACTCGTCAGGCTAAGGGTCCATTGCATGCTATATTTGTGCCAGTTGGTGGTGGTGGTTTAATAGCTGGTATTGCTGCTTATGTGAAGAGGGTTGCTCCCGAGGTACTCTTTTTTGCTGTGACTGCTTTAGCAATGTCACCATGGTTCTGTTCTTGTTACTAACAGCTACTTGTGACAAAATCCAAATTTTTTATTGAGAAATGAGTTCCTTCAGCTTCTGTTTCTTATTGTGACTTTTGGGTTATGCAGGTGAAGATCATTGGTGTAGAACCAGCCGATGCAAATGCAATGGCGTTGTCGCTGCATCACGGTGAGAGGGTGATATTGGACCAGGTTGGGGGATTTGCAGATGGTGTAGCAGTTAAAGAAGTTGGTGAAGAGACTTTTCGTATAAGCAGAAATCTAATGGATGGTGTTGTTCTTGTCACTCGTGATGCTATTTGTGCATCAATAAAGGTATAGTACTATCCTTGATATGTTATCCCTTGTCATACGGTGTTTAGCATATGCATACTGCATTGTAGATAACCATATACTTGTCTCTACAGGATATGTTTGAGGAGAAACGGAACATATTGGAACCAGCAGGGGCTCTTGCGCTCGCTGGAGCTGAGGCATACTGTAAATATTATGGCCTAAAGGACGTGAATGTAGTAGCCATAACCAGTGGTGCTAACATGAACTTTGACAAGCTAAGGATTGTGACAGAACTCGCCAATGTCGGTAGGCAACAGGAGGCTGTTCTTGCTACACTCATGCCGGAAAAACCTGGAAGCTTTAAGCAATTCTGTGAGCTGGTGTGTGTTTGGTATTATAGCATATAGAAGTTAATCCCATTACAGAATGCATCTAATACAAAACATTAATGGGTGCAGGTTGGACCAATGAACATAACCGAGTTCAAATATAGATGTAACTCGGAAAAGGAGGCTGTTGTACTATACAGGTAAGTCCATTCCTGGGAAATTCCTTCGTTCCCGAGTAGTTTATTCATCCTCTAATCCGCACAATTTTGTGTATTGTTGTATAGTGTCGGAGTTCACACAGCCGGAGAGCTCAAAGCACTACAGAAGAGAATGGAATCTTCTCAACTCAGAACTGTCAATCTCACAACCAGTGACTTAGTGAAAGATCACCTGCGTTACTTGGTGCGTCCTTGATCGATTTTTCTCTGTGCTTATTTCTCCTTTAGGATTACTATATTTCCAATTCATTCCCATTGGTTGATATGTGAATCACACTTTATACATATCAGATGGGAGGAAGATCTACTGTTGGAGACGAGGTTCTATGCCGATTCACCTTCCCCGAGAGGCCTGGTGCTCTAATGAACTTCTTGGACTCTTTCAGTCCACGGTGGAACATCACCCTTTTCCATTACCGTGGACAGGTTTGTTTCCCAATTCACCATAAATAATGTTTTAATGGAACTTTGAGGCTCCTCCTCACTATACAATCTTCCTTCTTTTAAAAAAGGGTGAGACGGGCGCGAATGTGCTGGTCGGGATCCAAGTCCCTGAGCAAGAAATGGAGGAATTTAAAAACCGAGCTAAAGCTCTTGGATACGACTACTTCTTGGTAAGTGATGACGACAATTTTCAGCTTCTGATGCACTGAGTTTGAAGCTGTGATTGATAATCCAAATCCCAGGTAGAAGAAGAACCCATCAGAGTCTTCCTTCTGATCTTGGTTGTTCTTGAGCTTCTTTTGTCTGTTTTCTCTCGGGTTCGTCCGATGAGCGTTTTAGTGACGGTAGTTCAATGAGTAAAATCTCTCTATATGATTATTGCTCGTAATCCATAATAAAATCTCTCTATGATTATTGCTCTTAATCCATAATAAAATCTCTTTATGAATATGTAAATTATATGATGCTTGATATTGATTTTCTTAAAAGGGTTACTTGGTAATTGATTTTCAAAGAGGCAAAGATTAATAAGTGTTTGTCTAGTCCTGTATATCTAACTTTTTTGCTCGGTAATCTTGTTCTGTTGTGTACCAAATCCATCATTTTTGGTTGTCTCAGTTTAAGATTGGTCTGGCAAAAAAGTCACAACCATTATGTGGTTAAACAGTTACTATATTTGGTTAATGTTTTTTCTAAAAGCCAATAAACTTCATATATCTATTTTTATTTTATGGATGTTTTAAACCTTTTTTTCAAAAATGATTGATATTTTTTTTTTGTATGTAGATTTTTATGATATAAATAAAAAGTTGTGAAATTTAAAAACATATCTCTATAAGTTTAGAAAACAAAAAAAAAGCAAATATGTTTTTCATTTAACTTGTGAAACATTAAAGAAAAAAATATATCTAATGGAAGTTAGGTTGGATTTATTGGGTAAAAGGAAACAGTGGCCAAGAAAAAGGCAGCTCCATTGTTTTGCCAAAACCAGCCCCTTGGTTTAGGCTTGATTTTGTAATCCCAAAAAGGAAATAAAAGTAAAAAAAATAAAACCAAAAACCACAAAACCATGGGCAGTTTTCAGATCATCCCATTGACAGCCCCCAAAACCAGCTGCTCTGATTCTCTCCTCTGTATATTACTCTCTTTATCTTCCTTTGACTCCAATCCCGAAACCACTTCACCACAAACTTCTTCAACACAAACTAAACAAAACTCAAAAGTAAGAACTCGAAGTTACTGTAGTTACAAATTCTTGTCGGAATTCTTTTACTTCGTCGGAAATTCGAATTTTGGGGTTTCGAAATCTGGGTTTGTGTGATTCCTTGTTGATTTATCTACCATTGTTTCCAATTTTCAAATTTTCTTCAATTTAGGGTTCAGAGTTTGATGGAATCGAATGTGATGTTCTCTGGGTTTAGCCCAAGAATGTTGAGCTTAGAAATGCCGCAAAATCCACAAAATTCAGTTCAATTTCAGCATCCGCATCCTTACACCACCACCGGCGACCAACCAACTCAGCCGCCGATGAAACCCTTATACCCATACGCCTCAAAACCCAAACAATTGTCACCCATAAGCGGCGGTGGCGGCGACGACGAAGATCGCGGTTCGGGTTCCGGATCCGGTTGCAACCCTGAAGACAGCGCGGGAACCGACGGGAAGAGGAAATTGTCACAATGGCATAGAATGAAATGGACGGATACAATGGTTCGTCTTTTGATCATGGCGGTTTTCTACATCGGCGACGAAGCTGGTTTAAACGATCCAATCGACGCCAAGAAAAAGACCGGCGGTGGCGGTGGTAGCGGCGGAGGAGGGATGTTGCAGAAGAAAGGGAAGTGGAAATCTGTGTCGAGAGCTATGGTGGAGAAAGGTTTCTCTGTGTCGCCACAACAATGTGAAGACAAGTTTAATGATTTGAACAAGAGGTACAAGAGAGTTAACGACATTCTTGGTAAAGGAATCGCTTGTCGTGTCGTGGAGAATCAAGGATTGTTAGAGAGTATGGATCATTTGACTGCGAAGTTGAAACATGAAGTCAAGAAGTTGCTTAATTCTAAGCATCTTTTCTTTAGAGAGATGTGTGCTTATCATAATAGTTGTGGTCATCTTGGTGGTCATGACCAACCACCGCAACAGAATCCGATTTCGATTCCGAGTCAGCAGAACTGTTTTCACGCGGCGGAAGCAGGGAAAATGGCGAGAATTGCGGAGCGTGTGGAGGTGGAGGAGGAAGTAGAGTCTGATATGGCGGGGGATTCGGAATCGGAGATGGAGGAATCAGAGGAGGAGGTGGAGGAAGATACGAGGAAGAAGCAGAGGATATCAACGGCGGTGAAGCGGCTGAGGGAAGAAGCGACGCGTGTAGTGGAAGATGTTGGGAAGAGCATGTGGGAGAAGAAAGAGTGGATGAAGAGAAAGATGTTGGAGATTGAGGAGAAGAAGATTGGGTATGAGTGGGAAGCAGTGGAGATGGAGAAGCAGAGAGTGAAGTGGATGAGATATAGGAGCAAGAAGGAGAGAGAGATGGAGAAGGCTAAGCTTGACAATCAGCGACGGAGGCTTGAGACGGAGAGGATGGTTCTGAATTTACGGCGGAGTGAGATTGAGTTGAATGAGTTACAGTCTTCGGGTAAACGGGCTGACCCGAGTTCCGCTAAGGGGTGATGGTGATTAGTGTTTCAAAGTTTCAGCATTTTAGTGTTTAGGATTAGAAATTTTAGAAATTTGTAGTTTCTAATGTGGAGGATGCTAGGATTCTCACGTTTTGGGACAGTAATCAGCAAATTAAAATCTTTAAAAGTATGGACTATGGAGGAATGTCTTTAATTAGTAAAGTAGAAGAAAATAAACTTTGTAGACAAAAGGTCTTTGATCAGCAAATTGGTTAACATATCTACTTTGTAGTTTCAAATGTGGATAATGCAGATTCTCACGTTGTCGATATTTCAACGGTTGGTAAAGTGAGAAGAAAACAATCAATCGTATAAAGGTTGAAAATGGAAAAAAAATGACACACCCGGTGGGACTCGAACCCACAATCGTTTGATTAGAAGTCAAACGCCTTATCCATTAGGCCACGGGTGCTTTGCTTGCACTAGTTTATTGAGAAGCTTATAAGAATATAATTAGTTGTTTACCCTTCATAGCTTCATAATAGGGAGAGTTTTTTTCTTCTAATTTCAACCAATTAGAGTTTTGTGTACATGTAGTTATTGAAGGTTAAAGTCGAGAACTGTGATAATATTTGTAAGAAGAAGAGATTTTCTGTTAGACATATTTACGTAAAAGTTTAGCTAGGTAGAAACCAAAGTACACACTACACAATGTCTTCTTCTTCTTTTTCTTTCCTAAGTACTCATTGTTTGGACATTACTTTTAAAAACTAAACAATCTTCGTCTAATGAAGTTTTTATTTTTGGCTGAATATGATACCAAGTGGAGTCCAATGGCAAACAATTAATCCCGATTTGAATTTAGGATAGTGAGGGAACGAATATACAGTGAGACACGATGACTTTCATGTTGGTCGAGGCTCAATAAGTCATGCAAAATCAATCAAACGACCAAATTAAATTATCTTGAAATATCATAATTATGAGTTATGAGTCTTATGACTCACCATTTCAAGCAAAACTCTTATATCTGAAAATGAGAGGAAGACATTGGACTAAACCAATTTTTTCAGTTTAATTGTTGTAACACCTGTTTTGAACGTTTTATATTGATGGTATAATTATTCTCTTCGTTCACCCGTTACATCAATTGAAAATTTTAATTGCATCATCAAAGGTTTTATAATCATACAAAGACAGAATCATAATGGAAATATATATCTATGAAGGGTTTTTGATGATATTTATTTTGTTGGAAAGCTGAAATTATGCATATTAGGATTTTCTTTCTTTTCCAATTTCCACATAAGAGGCAACGTAGGTGTTATTTGACTGTAACGGAAGCGAATTTAACTTTGGTTCGGTTTGTATTTAACCAACCGAATTACGCAATTTAAAGTTGGTTCGGTTAGGTTTTTATGAATAAGCTTTTTTTATTATTCCATCCTTACCACTGCCTAACGGAGCCGTTGTGACGGCCCATCCCCTTTTGCGCTAGTTCACGCTTTGACGCCTTCTCCTTCCGTTTCTTCGTCCTCTCGCCGCTAATTAACGCCGTCTCTGGTTTCTACCGCCGCCGTAACCCTAACGGCATCTTTAATGGCGTCGTGTGATGACGATTTCTCTCTACTTGGAGACGATCAGTCAAACCCTAATCAACATCACCACCACCACCAAGTTCTCCATCACACCCCCTACGCTCCTAGACGATTCAACCCGAAGCCATCGAATCAGATCCATTTGCCGCATCACCAAAGGAACGGCGACGAGGACGACGAGAACGATGTCGTTGTAGAGGCGTCTTCTGCTTTTCACGGTGTTAATCCTTTCTCTGCGGACGAAAATTCGAATCCGTATGATGATAATAACGCAGGTGTCGACGAAGACGAAGATCTCGATGCGAACAGATCCAGAATCGGAGGTGTTCGTGTTGAGAAGAGGCAAAGTCAGGAGGAGCTAAGTGACGGAGGAACAACGAATGGTGGTGAGACCACACCTTACGGTAGCTTCAAGAGGCCGAGGACTTCGTCTTCCTCAGCTGGTGAGTATAGGAAGGATAGGGAAGAGTGGAGCGATGCGGCGATCGCGTGTTTGTTAGATGCGTATTCGGATAAGTTCACACAGCTTAATCGAGGGAATCTTCGGGGAAGAGATTGGGAAGAGGTTGCTTCATCGGTGAGTGAGAGGTGTGAAAAGCTGAGTAAGAGTGTAGAACAGTGTAAGAACAAGATTGATAATCTTAAGAAGAGGTATAAGCTTGAAAGGCATAGGATGAGCAGTGGTGGAACATCAGCTAGTCACTGGCCTTGGTTTAAGAAGATGGAAGATATTGTCGGCAATTCCTTGGCAACGAAAGGCGCGTCTGATGAAGATAGAAGTGGAAGCTCAATGGGGAATACTGTGAAGCCAGCTAGGAGGTAATGCAGTAACGATCAGTAGCAACTCTGTTGTGTTGTTCTTGTTTTGTGCTCTTGTGAAAGTGAAAGTTTTTGGTTTGGTATTCTTGTTTCAGGTATCCCCTGGTAACATATAACCCTGGAGTTCAGATTAATAACGTCAAATCCAAGGCTACATCAAACCCAAGATGGCGAAGAGTGGTTTTGAAAATCAGTGGTGCCGCTCTTGCCTGCACGGGTCCTAATAACATTGATCCAAAGGTTTCTTCCAGATTGTGTAATCTTTTGTTGATGCATTTTCTCTATCCGGGTCAGCATTAAATTCTCTTCTTAATTTTTTAGGTAATCAATCTGATTGCAAGAGAAGTTGCAATGGCTTGTCGTCTTGGTGTAGAGGTAACACTTACTTCTAGATTGTTAGTGTTTATCCTCTCTCAGTTAAATGGAATTTATAGTTTGTTTCTTCTAGGTAGCGATAGTTGTTGGGAGTCGGAACTTTTTTTGTGGCAGCACATGGATAACTGCCACTGGTTTGGATAGAACCACTGCATATCATATCAGGTTGGTCAAAATATTTCAGCTGCTTTTGCCTTTAGAATGTATGTATTGTGCTTTGTCTAAAGTATGTTTGCTGTAGTCTGATAATTGAACTGGCTGGTGCAAATACTGTATGAGAATTTTATCTGCTATCATGATGGGGTTATGTTTCCATATTTATTTATCGTGATCTGAAGTTCTCACAGATCTATTTGTTTTTTTTTTTATCATTTCAAATGGTCTCTTAAATCATCATTGCCAAAACATCCATGCACTTGCAACAAATTAGTTTTGTCTTCTTTGTTCTGTTTTGCTGGGAAGAGGTTGTTCAGCTCACGAAATCTGTGTTTTGTAACAGTATGATGGCATCTGTGATGAACTCTGCTTTACTTCAATCGTCCCTGGAGAAAATAGGGGTTCAGGCACGGTTACAAACTGCAATATCGGTTCAGGGTGTCGGGGAGCCTTACAATCGTCAACGAGCGACCCGGCATCTAGATAAGGGAAGAGTAGTAATATTTGGCGGAATCGGTGCAACGCTTGGAAATCCACTCTTATCATCTGATGCATCTGCAGCCCTTCGAGCTATAGACAGTACAACTCTCTTACTCCCACTTAGTGTTGTTCCTTACTGCACCAACTTAAACTAACTTAGAATTCATATACTTCTCTTTCCCATTAGTAACTGGTCCTAAGTGCTAAGCTAAGATCTCTTGTACATGCTATCAGTCAATGCGGAGGCAGTGGTGAAAGGAACAAACGTTGATGGTGTTTATGACTGCCATTCACAAGATAGTAACGTGACATTTGAGCACATATCATTTCAAGATTTGGCTTCTAGAGGTCTTACGTCAATGGATACAATGGCCCTTAACTTCTGTGAAGAGAACAGCATCCCAGGTCGAGATTCTTTTTCTCTCTTTTATCATCTTTAGCTAGTCCGTTTTAGACTTAGATCAGACTGTGAGATAAATGGTTAAACCTAGCGACCTAGACACAATTAACTAATGGATTGATTACTCGAGATGGGACCTCTAGAATCATGATTTCATTCAGTCGATAATAGATCAATATCTTGCAATATACTCAGCCCGCAATGATTGCTTAGCACATGATGTTAGAACAAAACCTTGAATGTAAATGACCTGATTCCTACTCCTCTGGATTTGAAAAAAGCAGTTGTGGTATTTAACTTTCTGGAAGCTGGGAACATCACAAAAGCGTTATGCGGAGAACAAGTGGGTACTTTGATCGATAGAAGTGGAAGGGGTGTGAGTTAGTAGTAGTAGTATATGTGCCTTCTTAATTCATACGACTTGTGTAACTTTATAAACTCCTTTTTTTTTCTTTTGGTAAGTAATTATATTTCATAGATGAGTTGACAAGAAAAAGGAGAGTTGCTCCATTCACGAGTGAAGATTTTGTAATATTGAAGATGCTGTTGACACTTGACAGTGTTTCTTTCTCCATCTTCGTTCACTGACTTCTTCTTTCTGAAAGATTGTATTTGATTTTCAGCATTAGATTTTGACATTCGCTTTACAGATAATCCTGTCACAAACAAATATTAGAAAGCCACTATAATAAAGACAAGTATATCTTAACCAATCTATTTATACTAAATCAACAGTCACTTTAACAAAAACTGCAACACTCTCTTTCTGACATGTGGCAAAACTCTCAATTTTTGCTTTTTCACTTTCACGTAATCCAATTCTATTATTCTTAGAAATTTTTTTTGACAAAAAATAAATAAAAATCTTACAACTTTTTTAGCAACCACTACTTCCCCATGATCTCAAAATTATCCCTTTTTCTAAATCCTCTCCTACTTTAACTGATGAAACCACTATAAAGAAAGTAATTAAAAACAAATGCGTGGACTTCTTCTTCTCTTCTTTCTCACAGCTTTAGAAGATCTTTCATTCTTCTTGTAAATCCTCCATTCTTTCTCATATATATATTTTTTAAATGAGAAATGAGAACCATCCACTTCGTGGTCAATCTACAACAAAGAGCGCAGAGCAAAACCGAGACAACAACAAGTAATTTCTAATCAAGTTTTTTTTTTCTATTTTATTAATTTCTATCTTCTAATTCTTCATTCTTTTCTCATGATTGCTGGAGTGCTCATAATAGTTATCTTCTAATTATATAGCTAATGGATTCAATGCACTTCTATTTTTAAAAAAATTATTAAAGACAACATATGTTTGATTTTCCCAAAATATTTTAATATATGATATAAATTGATATTTATTTTGTCCCTGCATAGCAGGGCCATAATGCTAGTTATAATATATTACACGTCATAGACGAATTGACAAAAGTCAATTGCCGATTTCAGCTGTCAACGGGTTTTAATATCATAATATGAGGCCCATTTTATAATTAATCAGTGGGGCATAGATTTTATAAGATTTTCTCGCAACGATCAATTTCCATTTTTTTTTGCTGTCTAACTTTCCTTTTTTTTTGGTTTTGAGTGATTTCCTTTTTTTTCATGAACATATAGAAAATGAATTTCCTTTTTCTGAACAAACCTGCCTCTGCTTTATAAACTCATCTCTTCCTCCTTGAGAAATTAAAATTCCTTCGAAAGAGAAAAAAAAGTTTCATGACGCATATGAGAGCGAGACCTATGTCGTTCATGGCACATGAATGATTACTCTGTTAATATTCATGTGAGGAATGAAGGATCGACCCTAAAGATCGATGATGGAGTACAAAAGGAGGATATGGGTTTTGATTGAGAGATCAATTGAGTTCTCTCGTACAGATGTTTGCGAAATTGGTTTTTATGAAATATCAGAAACTGACATTCATCATGATGACTTCCTCAAGAATGGCAAGAAGGAGGAGAAGAAGAAGCTAACTAAAACCAATAAAAACTTCAAGAGCGCGACGACGAAGGTTCTCCAATGGCCACTTCTTCTTTATTCAGGTAATTTCCTAAATGTATACTTGCGTCTCTCTCTTTTTTGCGTTTTCTGTTTTATATTTTTGGATTTAAAATTAAACTTTGAGGTTTTTTTTTTTTTAACACTTTGAGGTTTTTCTATGCAAATAATATTTGAAATAATTTCTTTTTGTTATAACTAAAATTATTACCTATATAAAATATTTTCAATTTAAAGATATTTAAGTGTTAAATTCTAAAATTGTGAAAACTAACCGAACTTGACATCCCGTCCTTAATTGGTCCGTAAGAGGTGTTCTAAGTTCAACTTGTTTACACTTGATGTGAATTTTGCACTTAAGTTTCTAATAAAAAAAGCTATTATATATATATATAATGTTTTCAATCTAAAGAAATTTAATTGTTAAATTCTAAAATTGTGAAAACTAACCGAACTTGACATTCTGTCCTTAGTTGGTCCGTAAGAGGTGTTCTAAGTTCAACTTGTTTACACTTGATGTTAATTTAGCACTTAGCTTTCTAACAAAAAAAAACTATTATATATATAAAATATTTTCAATCTAAAAAAATTTAAGTGTTAAATTCTATAATTATGAAAACTAACCGAACTTGACATCCCGTTCTTAATTGGTCCGTAAGAGGTGTTCTAAGTTTAACTTGTTTACACTTGATGTGAATTTTGCACTTAAATTTATAATAAAAAAAATCTATTATATATATATATAATATTTTCAATCTAAAAAAATTTTATTGTTAAATTCTAAAATTGTGAAAACTAACCGAACTTGACATTCCGTCCTTAGTTGATCCGTAAGAGATGTTCTAAGTTCAATTATTTACATTTGATGTGAATTTAGCACTTAACTTTCTAACAAATGTAAACACTATTAGATCAAATGTCAAAATCTAATGCTGAATATCAAAATATGGGCCGAACAGTATAAACACACACAAAGGCCCAATTTTGTGTTACAGCCTCGAACGGATAATTACGACATTGCGTTAGAGACTCAAATAAAATAATGAGACGTTTCCGTAATCTACGAGAAAGACAACGTAGTCGCTAGAAACTTCATCAGATATTTTTGTCCCCTCTCTTCTTATCCCCTCACGCACCTCTTCTCTCTCTCTCTATATAAACAAACACTCGTTGCTCATTCTAAATATTGCGACTTTGATTGGTTTGTTAACCCATACAAAAAGATGCAGACGGTATCAGTTGACGAAACCAAGAACACGGTGGTGATACGGGCGGAGCACAAGAACGAAGAAGGTCGGAAATCTGTTGATAAGTTCGAACTGAAGACACGTAATCCGGAGACGATCAAGAGCGTTGAGAGGAAGCTTATGGAGAAAGGTGTTCAACGGATGGATCGTCATCCTTCCGATGGGATTCCTCTCAGGCGACCGCCGCCGAAGTCAGGTCACGGTGGGAAGTACACGTGGGAAGGACCTGATCGGATGGAGGATTACGAGATGCAGCCGGATCCACCGGCGATGGATGAAGGAGATCCTAATTATGATGAGGAACAGGCGAAGAAGATTGATGGTGACGTGGCGGTGGAGCTTGTGAAAGGAGAGGTTGAGGTGGCGAAGGAAGCGCCGGCTGGTGTGGCGAGGGTTGAGGTTGATCCACGCTTGGTCAGTCTTTGAGTGTGTTTGATAGAGCATGAAGAAAAATGTTGGGGCGAATATGAGAAAAAGGAAAACATGTGGGGGTTTAATTTTTAATTTCGAGTTGTTGACATGTGATGATGTTTTAGTGTAATGACGTGGAACTATCTCTGTAAAAAATAATAATTGATCTGATTGCATTGAAATCCACCATTCGGTGGTCTTTTTCATTATCCAACATAACTCTTTTTTGTTACTTATCGTTGTCATGTTGTGTTTTGGTCTTTTTATATATGAGTGAGTAGGTCCGATCTGTTAAATATTCTTATGCCTGTGTGTGAGTACAAAATTTGGGAGGTCAATTTTAATTTCAAGTTGTGGTGTATTGAGTGACTATGAATCGTGTTTATGTGAAAATAATTAAATACAGTTGAGGATAATGGAACATGGTAACAAAATGGCATTTAATTATATACAAGAAGTTAGGTCTGTTCTATTAAATATCTTTGTAGGATATGAACAAACACGCCACGTGTCGTCTTGAGTTAATTATCAAATAAAGAAATTGTCGTCTAGAGTTCAGTGACTTGTATATCTTTTTTATTTGTTGATCCATACTTCTTTACGGGACCGAAGCATAAGCATAGATTAAACACGATATTTTGGGATCAGAACAACTATATATTGATTAGACACGACGATAAAGGGAAAGTAAAATCTTTAGAGGAAAATAAAAAAAAGATGCAGGCTGTGGGGTTCGAACCCACGCGCACTTATGTGCAGAAGAACTTAAGTCTTCCCCCTTAACCTCTCGGGCAAACCTGCTCTATTGTTTCAATGTTTCATTTATAGTTTATATGATTATTCATAACTGTTGTTTAAGAAAATTTAGCTAATTTTTTCAGCCCAATAAAAAACTTACACACTAAAACATATAGGCCCAATTACGTTAGAATCAAAAGTATTTTTTTTTCGTATTTACTTAAATGTAGGTTTTCATCTTCTCACAAAGACATACGCATGGATTCATATTACCTCTTTATCTTTTTCAGTGATCTGAAGTATTTACTGGGAGGTAAAAAACAGTAACTGTAATAACAAAACAGCTGCACTGTGTTAGGCCTTAGTGATGTTCCTCCTGATTCTAGTGACTGCTGCTTGTAAATTATTAATGGGCTGTTAAGTATTATTCTAGGCCCAATTGAGTCAGCCACTAATGCAGATTTAACGGGGTGTATTGACGGCGTCAAAACGGTTTCTCAACGGAATCGTAGACACGTGATTTTATAGTTTCCCGGTTTGGTCATGCGTTCCTTCTTTTCCACTTGCGCGGACCACTCAATGACACTCTTTTTTTGTAGCAGTAGCCCGACAGTAGAATGCAGCATTTAATCTCTCAAATTACCATTTTACCCCTTTTGTTTTCTTGTGTTTTTTGATTTCGTGCGGAAAAGGATCTCTTCCTTAATCGTAAATTACTTTTAATCATTTCCAATATCTACTTATATTCTGTTTTTTTCTATTTTTGGTATATTACATAATTTTTAAAAATAAAAGATAAGCTAAGACGACATTAGTGTTGTTTAACCAAAAATTGGAAAAAAGTTATGAGACTAATTGAGATAAGATTCTTTTACTCAAGTGAAAAAAGAAAAAGAAGCAAGTGGTGGTCCCTAATAAGAAGCTCACGTACGGTCATATACAACTTTAATACAACTGTGTAAACTCAATAGATCGTGCAGTAATATTGAGTTATGGTAAGAAGGAATTTATTTGCAAAGTAAACTCGAGCCTGCTTTTTTCTCTTCTTTTTTTCTTTTCAGTTTTATATAATCAGGCTACTTTTGACTCAGCAACACTCTCTCTAACACCAGTCGTTAGCTTAGTCCGAAAATATAGCATTATTATAAATAAAAAGTTACATGTTTTATGTTTTGAATAGGGCAAGGGTTTATTTTATTGTGTGGATTGATAAGTAAGTTTGCTTAAATTTAGGAGTAATTTGACATATTCCTATGAGTTCTAAGTGAATTCTGTTGGAGTCAAAGTAGCAGCAACTAGTTAAATTAGTTGGGAATCGTCTCCATTATTTACGCATAGTTCAGTTTAGACACTCAGTCTCAATGCTTTCACGTTTCAAGTAAACTCATTTGGATGATTGTGGGGAGAAAAAATTCAATTCTAATTTAAATAAAATGACAACTCTCTTAACAAAAATATGTATCACGTAGATTTTTGTATTTTTAAAAACAATGGCTCCGAATGGAGAAAGCGTATCGAGCGTAGCGGATCAAGCGGATCAAGCGGATCAAGCAGAACAAAAGTGGATCAAACAGATCTAGTTTGTGATCGTGGATAAGTTGCAATTCAGTGAAACTCTGCAACACTTTGTGCAATTATTTGGCTGTCTAAAGTATTTGTGAGAATTTTACAGTCTAATTGTTCCATTATTTCATTTACTTGTCATCATTTTATTATATTTGCAACAAATCGGCGATATAGTTTTTCGTTGTAATTAAGGAACCAAAATAAATATCTTGAAATTTATAACAGTCACTAGAAAAAACGATTTTGAAAATCAGATTTTTGGATTTCAAAACGGTGATAATCACTTTCAAACAGTGAATCAAACTTACTCTTCTTTCTTTTGTAATTCCAATTTCAAATTAAATTTTATTACTTAAGTAGTATTATTAAAAAAACGTGTAACAGTTATAAATCTATATATAATAGCAATCTAATAAATACCATTTGCACATCTGAACGGTTGCGTCTTTTTATCGCAACCTTTCGTTTAAATCGGTTATTTTTTTACGGTTATTTTGGTTGCGTCTTTTTATCGTAATTTTCGTTTTAATCGGTTATTTTTTTACGGTTATGTCGTTTCCAATAAATACCATTTGTACATCTGAACGGTTGTGTCTTTTTATTGCAACCTTTCGTTTAAATATTTATGGTTGTTTTTTTTACAGTTATTTTTGTACGGTCATGTTGTTTTATTGAATTTCTTTTTACGTAAACCAATAAACTACATATAAAATTGGTTTATTTCATAGTTTACATATGGATATATTTTTAATTTTTAAACTAAAATTTATATTTTACGGGTATGTTTTTTAGAAAATTGCAATCCGAATATCTTCTGCGGTTGCTTCTTTTTATTGTACCTCTTCATAAACAGTTGCAACCTTTTATTCGAATTATTGCAATATTTAGTTTATTTCACGAACAATTGCAACCTTTAGTTTATATCACAAACAATTGTAACCTTTGATTTATATATTTAGTTTATTTCACGAACGATTGCAACCTTTGATTTATATATTTTGTTTTGTATTTCACGAACAATTGCAACCTTTGGTTTATTTTACAAATTGCTATAACATCTAATTATCTACCGTCGCGTCTTTCGGTATAATTTTCATAAATTAATATTTTTAATTTTTAATTACCAAAATACATTTAAATGAGATTGTAATCGTTTAATTGAACCGTTGAAACATTTGGTTTATTTGACCAATCATTGCAATTTTTGGTTTTGTTTTACGAACCGTAGTAATCTTTAGTTTATTTGACGAACCGCTACAACTTTTGATATATCGCAACATTTCATTTATTTCTTTTTAAACTAAAAAAAATATTTTACACTGTGTTTTTTGAGAAAGTTGCAATCCGAGTAAATATTTTTTACGGTTGCATCTTTTTATCGTAATTTTTCATAAAATGATTGCAGCCGTTTAGTTGAACCATTGCAACATTTAGTTTATTTCACGAAAAATTAAAACTTTAAGTTTATTTTATAAATCGTTATAACATTTAATCACCTACCATCATTATTATTAATTTTCGTTTGATATTTTTTTAACGATTTTTGAAATATTTTCCCCCGCGACATCGCGGGGGTCCGGAGTCCTAGTTATGATAATAATATATTTAATAAATTACGTCGTGTGTCACATTTTCTAAATTACAATTATGAATTTCTAAAACTCATTCATACATATCTTAAAATTTGAATTCAACTTTCTTATCTTTAAATTTTGCAACAGTCAATAAAAACAGTCAAAGTTTTGAATTTTATAAAAAGATGATAATAATGTAATTAATGGATACGCCTCGTAGTCAATTCTTATAAATCATATATAGTATTATTCTTTTTGAAAATGACGCGTGTTTAAAATTTTCTAAAATATGATAAAAGTATATATTTAATTATGGTATGTATATATCCAATTTTGAATAATAAGACAATTGTTATAAGAAATCTCATCACAATAGGAAGAATTAAATTTGCAAAAGAAAAAAAAAGATTTGTAATTTGGAGAAAATAAAAAGGACTGGATTTGCAAAAACGATAAAGTAACTTCATGTATATTGTCTTCCTTATAGCTACTCTCTATAAACTATTATCTAAATTTTGTCTGGACTCTGAAACTCCCAAAGACTTGACTCTGGCTTACTTGGCTTCATCTTTTTCTCTCTGGTAATCTCTCCTGCAACTTCAAGCTCTCATTTTCAGATTATTTTTCACTGAAGAACTCATTGAGTTCTCTCTCCCTTTCAATTGTATTTGACATTAAAATTATAAGATTTTGAGGAGGTTTCACCTACCACAAAAGAATCACTTCTTCATCCAAATATGGTTTCTTTCAGTGACCAAAAATAGAGACTGGTTTGTTTCTTCATCTTCTTCCTGATCTGTGATTCAATTTTTATATCTTCCACAGGTAAATTGTGATTGAACAGAGAAGAGGACAAGTGATCTGGTTTAAAAGTTATGGAAGGAGAAGTGAGCGAGAAAGACAGGGTTCAAGGGAGACGATCAGAGACAGAATTTATACATGGTCTGTCACAAGAGCAATCAATATTTAACAACATGCAACACAACCATCAGCCTGAATCAGACAGGTTTTGTGCCTCGACTGCTTTTAAGTGATTTACTCTGTTCTAATGAGGTTTCTTTGGTGATTCTGTTTTGTTTAAATTATGCAAAAGGAAGAAAATAAATCAGATATTTTTCACTGTTTAGCAACATTGAGTAAAAATGCAAAAACTGAGATATATTACAAAGGCAATTTTGATGAACTGGTTTTGGGCGGTGTGATCTTTGTGTCTGTCTATGCAATTACTTTTTGTGTTATTTTCTACTTTATAAGGAGAGATGTGAACTGAAATTGTTAGTGATCATTGCAGGAGGAGGCTTAGTCTCGAGAACATGTCTTGTACACAACTCTTGGCTTTGGCTAATAACATGGTCGCCACGAGTTCATCAATTGATGCACCACTGCTAAAACCACAATGTGAGTAAATTTGTTCCTGAATTTGTAGGATTTTCCAAAGTGTTGTGTTGCTTAGTATTGAAGAATATATATAGACTGGACCTTTTAAGAGAAAGTAGGCGTCTATGTGTAGATAAAGTCAGACTGAAATCGATTATCTCATAATAAGTTCTCAGTGATGTCTTAAGTCATGAATTCTATTTTACCTGATATCTTCTTCTTGTTTTGGTGAACCACAGATGATGTGTCAACTCCACAGAAGTTTCTTTGTGACCTTAATCTTACACCTGAAGAGATGGTGAGCACCAGTGCCCAACGAACAGAACCTGAGTTTCCTCCAATAACTTTAGAGACACCAGGCAAAAGATTGTCTGAAACTGATCAGGAGCCTCACGACCGTATCAAGAAGTCTGTTCTTGAAACTGGATCTCCTGCAGGAGTAAAGAAAAGAAAGAGAGCCAGAGATGATGAGAAAGTCCAACTGGGAACACCAACATTAAAGAGAAAAAAGATCAGGCCAAAGGTTGTTCGTGAAGGCAAAACAAACAGAGTCTCATCTAAAGCAGGGATTAAAAAGTCCTCTGTTGCTGCTGCTACTGCTAGTAAAACTTCTGAAGAGAGCACTTATGTTCGGCCAAAAAGATCAACTAGAAGATCTATACGATTAGACTTTGACTTTCAAGAAGAAGATGAAGAATTTTGTGGACTCGATTTCACATCATCAGGTCAGGTAGAGGGTTCTTCAGGTGGAGAAAATCTAAGCGATACAACACTGGGACTATTTGGTAACATTCCAAAGGGAAGAAGAGGACAAAGAAGATCCAATGGCTTTATGGAAAAGGTAAGATTCAATCCATCTTCGGAAACTGACAATGATTGCTTCAGTTCTATGTTGTCTCTTATCAATACAAGACCAGAAAGTTTCATGGAATCAGAAGAAGATCGTCCGAGTGATTCAAAAATTTCTCAAAGCCTGGGAAGACAACGATCCATCGTAGCAACCAGACCGCGCAACTTTCGATCATTAAAGAAACTTTTACAACGGATTATACCAAGTAAACGTGATAGAAAAGGACGTGATAAAAAAGGATACAAGCTTCCTCGTGGATTTCCGCAGCTTAAAGCCATCGTTTCCAAGATGCAATCAACAATCTGTAGAAAGAAGCGGAGTCAACCAGATCGTATAGCAAGTCAGTTCAATGCAAGGGTACTAGCCCTGCAGTGGAGACACCAAAATCCAACAGGTTTGACAACATACATGCAAATAAACTTTTATCTCTAATATTTCCTAGATTTCTAACTTTGAATCAATACTACTTTTACAAAATGCAGGTACCTCACTAGCTGAAATATGGGAAAGAAGTTTGACTATTGATGCTATCACTAAGTTGTTTGAAGAACTAGACATCAACAAAGAGGGTCCTTGTCTTCCACACAATAGAGAAACTGCACTTATTCTATACAAAAAGGCATATGCAGAGCAACATGCAATAGTGAAGTATAGCAAGAAGCAGAAACCGAAAGTACAATTGGATACTGAAACGAGTCGAGTGTGGAAACTCCTAATGTTAAGTATCGACAGTGACGGTGTTGATGGATCAGATGAGGAAAAACGTAAATGGTGGGAAGAGGAGAGGAACATGTTCCATGGACGTGCAAACTCGTTCATTGCGCGAATGCGTGTTGTCCAAGGTACTATTTATTGCTTTAATTACGACATTCCTTCGTGGCTTGAGTTTTAAAACTCAGATCCATTTTTGTATCCAAAGCAAAATGTTCTAAACACAAACTTATTACTGCAGGCAATAGAACTTTCTCACCTTGGAAAGGATCGGTTGTAGATTCAGTAGTGGGAGTTTTCCTAACCCAAAATGTCGCAGACCATTCATCAAGGTAAATGCATTCAAGAGATTTCTAATAAACAGAGGATATATGCAACACGAGTGGTTTCTAAATTATCAACTTCTTCACTTTTGCAGTTCTGCGTATATGGATTTAGCTGCTGAGTTTCCTGTCGACTGGAACTTCAACAAGGGATCATGTCTTGAAGAGTGGGGAAGTTCAGTAACTCATGAAACAGTAACGAATTTGGATCCGAGAATTGGAGTTTCAACTCCAAGAATTAGCAATCCAACTTGCGTCATCATAGAGGAGATTGATGATGATGAGGACGACATTGATGCTGTTTGTAGTCAGGAATCCTCTAAAACCAGTGACAGTTCCATAAGTTCTGCAAACCAATCAAAATTGATGCTGCTGGATCCATTTAACACAGTTTTGATGAACGAGCAAGTTGATTCCCAAATGGTAAAAGGCAAAGGTCATATACCATACACGGATGATCTTAACGGATTGTCCGACGGGATTTCTACGGTCTCATCTACTTCTACTCATTGCGAGTTGAACCTAAATGAAGTACCACCTGAAGTAGAGTTGTGCAGTCATCAACAAGAATTGGAGAGTACCATTCAGTCACAAGAAGAGCAAGAGAACACAAGAACGGAGGATGTGAAGAAGAATAGGAAAAAACCAACTACTTCCAAACTAAAGAAAAAGTCAAAGGAACCAGCAAAGAGCAACAAAAAGAAAAGCTTTGACTGGGATAGTTTGAGAAAGCAAGCAGAAAGTGGTGGCCGAAAGAGAGAGAGAACAGAAAGAACAATGGACACAGTTGATTGGGATGCACTTCGATGTACCGACGTAAACAAGATCGCCAATATTATCATAAAACGAGGGATGAACAACATGCTTGCCGAAAGAATCAAGGTTTGACTGATTAAATAAGAAACGTCTTGTGCTATATATACCTGATTTGTACATTCTAACAAGGTGAATATTTATGACTCTGGAAATTGGACAGGCCTTCTTAAACAGACTGGTTCGAGAACATGGAAGCATAGACTTGGAGTGGCTAAGAGATGTTCCCCCTGACCAAGCCAAGTAAGAAAATTATTTACAAATCTTGAGATTATATATAGCCTATGGTTCAATATCATTCATGGGTGAAAGTAAAGTGAAATGACTGTAATGAAGAAGTTCTCTCTATGTCAGTAAATAGAATTAATACTAATTGAGATACTATACATATAAATGAGAGATACTTGATAGTGACTACTAATGGTTGCAGGGAGTATCTACTAAGCATAAACGGATTAGGATTGAAAAGTGTGGAGTGTGTTAGACTTCTGTCACTACATCAGATTGCATTCCCTGTAAGTCAATGAAGAATACTCAGACCCTAAAGAATATGGAACAGAGAAATTAATAGTTAAGTATTCTACTAATGCAGGTTGACACCAATGTCGGACGCATAGCTGTTAGACTAGGATGGGTTCCGTTACAGCCATTGCCCGACGAGCTGCAAATGCATCTTCTAGAGCTGTAAGCAATTCTTTTAAAAGATCCTTCTTCAACCATGAAAGGAAACATGAGAAATTTACAATAGTTTCCTTTAATTCTATTCAGGTACCCAGTTTTAGAATCAGTGCAAAAGTATCTCTGGCCACGCCTCTGCAAGCTTGACCAAAAAACCTTGTAAGTAAAAAAAAACATTGCTTTTTGCATAGCTCTACCATTACTCTAGACCCCTAAACTTCTCTGAATAACTTTACTGTATCATACAATTCTAGGTACGAGCTGCATTACCACATGATTACATTTGGAAAGGTACCTCAAACATATTCATGTGTTTCATTCCATTTTCACAAACCTTGTCCTGTTTGTGGAATGATAACATCTTAAAGTGGCATTTCCTACTTTGCAGGTCTTTTGCACAAAAGTAAAACCCAATTGCAATGCTTGTCCTATGAAGGCCGAGTGCCGACATTACGCTAGTGCACGTGCAAGGTTAAACCCACAAAATTCTTAGTTATTGAATTGGTGCATACAAAATATCATGTTTCATTAACTATTTTTTCATGTTGAAAAAACTCTAGCTTAAAGAGAAAGAGATCTGACACTATGTCTAAGTATTTAAGCACACACAACTGCTCAAGATAGTCATTTTAATGGTTTGTATTTTCTTGTGCTTGTGTTATATCGCAGCGCACGGCTTGCTCTACCAGAACCAGAGGAGAGTGACAGAACAACAGTAATGGTCCATGAGAGAAGATATAAACGCAAGCCTTTGGTGGTTAATTTTCGACCATCCTTATTTCTTTTTCAAGAAAAAGAGCAAGAAGCACAAAGATCCCAAAACTGTGAACCAATCATTGAGGAACCAGCATCACCAGAACCAGAGTATATAGAACATGATATTGAGGACCATCCTTGGAACAATAACAACGTTGGAACATCAAAGGATCCTTGGGAAAATAAGGACGTAATTCCTACAATCATGCTCAACAAGGAAGCTGGTACATCACATGATTTGGTGGTCAATAAGGAAGCTGGTACATCACAGGATTTGGTGGTACTAAGCACATATGCAGCAGCAATACCTAGACGTAAACTCAAGATCAAGGAAAAGCTACGCACAGAGCACCACGTGTGAGTTGCCACTTTCAAAATTTTCTGGTATTTTCCTAAACAGTAAAATTTGAGAATTAACTCAGCATTTGTCTCATACTAATGCTCTTTTTCAGATATGAGCTCCCTGATTACCATTCCATTCTAGAAGGGGTTAGTAACTCTTGCAAGATGATTTAGCGAGAAATTTTCTACTTCTTCCCGTCTTAAAAATTGTTTGATATCTTTTTTTTACAGTTTGAGAGGCGCGAAGCTGAGGATTTAGTTCCTTACTTGCTAGCCATTTGGACGCCAGGTAAGAAGAAAACAAAATAAAATCTGATGATGATTCTTCTTTACAACTTTATGTGTTTTCAGCTTTAGATGTATATGAATAATGTCTAACTAACATGTGATTGTATAATTTTCAATACCAGGTGAAACCGTAGATTCCATTCTACCGCCAAAACAAAGATGTGCTTTCTTTGAAAGCAATAATACATTATGCAATGAGCAGAAATGTTTTCAATGCAACAAGACACGGGAAGAGGAATCAGAAATAGTCAGAGGAACTATATTGGTAAGATTCTAGTTGTCAATTTTCAAGGAGTAGAAATATGAGGAATGTGTAAAAATGACTACTTGTTTGTTAACAGATACCCTGCAGAACAGCAATGAGAGGTGGATTCCCTCTGAATGGCACGTACTTCCAAACCAATGAGGTAATTTTTCGAAAAATGAATTCAACTTCAAAAAAAATGATCACAAGCAACAACATTCTAGTGAAAACTTAATTTGGCCTATACATGTGCAGGTTTTTGCTGACCATGGCTCTAGCATCAACCCAATCGAAGTCCCAAGACAATTGATATGGTATCTACGTAGAAGAGTCGCATATTTTGGATCTTCTGTATCCGCGATTTGTAAAGGTAAATTTTAAAAAACAAAACTGTCAATAGATCCAAGATCTTATCTTAATATGCTTTTCTATTTTTTTAGGTTTATCAGTGGACAAAATTCGGGACAATTTCGAGAAAGGTATGCTAATATGTCTTACACTGAAAACACCTTTAGTATCAAACACTGAATTCATGAAAAGAACCAACAATAGTATCAAATCAGCCATGATGTTTTTGCTTTGGTGATGTAAGATGTTGATAGGAAAGTATAGAAGATAAGCTAAGTTGGTTAATATTGTTTTGATACATCTTTGAGGTTGGATTTGACTAGAATTGTAATATATATGCAGGATATGTTTGTGTAAGGGGATTCGACAGGGAGAATCGTAAGCCGAAGAGTCTAGTGAAAAGACTGCATTGTTCTCACATAGCAATCAGAACTAAAGAGAAGACAGAGGAGTGAAACCTTCCAGATTTCATTAACATGTTAGACGTTTGATTCATGGGTATACATCATCAAGGTCATAGAGGATCTTAGGTTTTCATTAACTTTCAAATTCATGCAACTCTTTTTAGGAAAAAACAAAATGTTTCTTTTTGTTCCTAGCCTTAGTTTTGGGCAATGGATGGATGTTGTTTTCATTATCAAACTCAGCTTTTTTAGTCATAACAGAAATTTGCAGCAGTAATTCATCTTTTCTGTTATCTATCTAAATCATGTCAAAGCTCTCAGTTATTTTCCTCCTTACTTGATGGGATTTTTGTCACTCTTAAGCTAATTCAGTCTGGTCCTAATTCCAAATCAGATTTGGTAAAATACCAAATCTTGATTCAGATTCAAGAAATACAAAGCATGAGACACCATTCTAATAGTTTCAGATTAACTAGTTCCGGTTGATTCCAAATCCTACTGACTTAAGCATCAACCATAAAAAGGAACTTTATAAGAAAATAGATTTCAGATTGAGCAAAACATACCTTCTTTCGAAATCGATGCACAGAAGCCGGTGAAACGTTCTACAGAGACTTGGGGAATCGAGATTTGCCGCCTTAGCTTTTAATTCCTTTTAAATGATTTTTTGTTTTTTTTTAGAATGGCTTGAATTACATTTTGTTACATGATGGGCTTTGAATTAAAAAGCCCATTATATAAACAAGAAGGCCCAATTTTCTTACAAATGCTTGCGTAAGGCCTTAGGATTGGTTAAACTTAAGTTGAAAAAAATGCTCAGCTACTTAACGTTGAATAATGAATATAGTGCAAACAAATTATCTGAAACAATATTTTACGTGACAAAGATTTAACAATACCTTTTCAATATGTCGAATAGGTCAACAAAACAGAGACATAGACTGAAAGAATCAAGTCATCACAATAACTTGGGTTAATCAAACCACAAAGACCCAACAATTTAGTTTGAAATTTAAAATCACGTTTCACATGAATGGATGGTAAAAATTGTCTTCTTTGAATTCTACGATTTGGAAACTCTAAAACAATGGTATTCAGTTGATTTTCACATGTTAATCATTGATCTCGGCTCAATTTTCTTCTAGATAATTTCTTTCTTTGTCAAAGGGCTTATTTCTCTTGAACAGATAAAACAAGAACATCCTCTATTGAACATATATAATACATGTAACATTTAGCATCCTCTCTAATTTTCTCTTCGATTTGGAAAAAAATCATGGCAACTCCCGATTCCCAAGCGTTTCACTGCCGTTGAAGCGCAAGAAATCAAAAATAGAGAAAAATAATTTTAGGTCAGAGCAAAATAAATAAATAATAATAATAATTTTAGGTCATATATGTTTATTTCATAATTTATGAATGAAAATATTGATTTGATGATATGTCAAGTCATAGGTGGGCAGAGTAGGGGACAATCTCACCTCTTCATTGTAAAATCATACCAGTTTCTCTATTTATTTCATTATTTTAAGATTATTGTCTCTTCCCATCTCTCAGTTTCTGTCCCTCAATTTGCAAACCCTTGATCAAGTAAAATAACTCTAATTAATTATAAATTATAAAAACAGCATGAATGCATACATCAAGTGGGTCAATCTGCTTTGAAATTTGACCAATCAATAAGTCTTAACAAACAAACAAAAATCTCTTTTTAGTTTGGTATCTTCGTTTTCTTTTCTTGGAATTTACCATTGATACTTTGATAGTTGTACGTATACTGTAGCAGAACAAAATATATAAATTGCCATACTCAAAATATTATATGTATTTAAAATCCAGATCATGATATATGTATTCTACTAACCGGTTTGACTTTTCGATTATCAAATTTTGTTACTTGTATATATCAAATAGCATCCAATAATACTCGATCATGTTATTTAGCATAAACGTGATAACTTGAAAGTTTCAAAGTATGTAATTAACCAAAAAAAAAAACAAAAAAAAAAGATACAAAGTATGTGTGTGGTTAGTAACACTGGACTGGCCCATGCAAGTGAAAAAATGAAATAAATTAAATGTGTGTGTAAACTGTGCCGACAAATCAGAATGTAGCAGTATGATAGATAATGCATGGGAAGTTTATTGACTCGTCTCTAAGAATTAGGAATTAAAGGCAAATAGTTACTCTCTTTCTCTCCTCCGATCTCAAAATTTACTCCACTCTTCTTCAGTTCTTCTAAGGCCACACGCAGTGGTGCAACCACTCGGCGGGTGTAAGTATTAAACAATAGAGAAATAATGTAAAAAGTTGCTTTTCAACAAAACTCGAGTGTATAGTTGCATTCGGGTGTGAGGCTTTTTAAAAAGGGAAAAAAATTAATTAATACCTCTTAACTTTATATGAAAACATATATACAGTCAGTGTACCGGAAGAGTTGCAGTTTTAACTTTTAAGGATAATATATTTAACTAAACGACAAAAACAACACGTGAAGTCTTCATATGTTTACACTTTACACACGCAAATACTACATATGCAGCAGCCAGCAGGAGTACGTAAGATAATATATAATTTATTATTTTATTTTTTTTGGTAAAACAAAAACTGTTAGGGTTAACTTTTTATAGTGACAGGCCCCACCGCAAAGCGGTCCCATATCCAGAAAAAATCTCATCTCCGGCCTGGACCTACGGGTTAGTATACACCGCTTGCCCCTACTCGTATGAAAGAATTTTTATTTGGAGAGGCTCAGTACCACCGTGGTGACAGAGTGACTTGAACTCAAGACCTCTGACACTCATCTATGAGAAAGAATACCACTAGACCATGGACCCCTTCTCATATATAATTTATTTTTTTAAGCACTAATCAGACAATACAAATTCTAGTTTACAAACCAATCAAATACGTTAATATTGTTCGTATATAAACATTATCGTTGGTTAACACCTAATTAAAAATATATATTTTAAAGTCTTATAATATCTTAAACTTATACTTCAATTGTTAATTCCTCTTAGCCGTTAACCACGCATGACATCTTTCCTATTTTCTAAGTTCTTTTATTCTTCATTTTGAGAACGGAAAATGCAGCTTACTGATGATTATCTTCTTTCCGTAGCTTTAAACCATAACCATCCCACAAGTTTTGATCTCCATCTCCTTCAAGCAATGGAAAGCACTTTGTACTAGCCGCCATGGCAATGATGCGGCTAGGGTTTCCGTCCTTGGAGTTTGAAGGTGAGTAACCTTCATGATGGCCTTGCTCATCATCTCCACTACAATCGTTAGTTCTAGTTTCTTGATTGTTGTATACCATCATAGTCTCTTTGATTCTCGGATGATTCCCACCGTGGTTTGACCATTTCTCCTTCCTTTTCTTATTCATTTGTTTTTTCTCCATCTTACTCTTATTTTCTTCATCAGCATATTCATTTTCAGCCATCATTTGATCGCTTCCTCTTCCGTTAATCCTCTCAATAGGGGAAGAAGAATCCGGCCTTATCAATGCTTTTCCCGTCAAGTACTGCAAGGCCTCGATCACCGCAACATCCCGAGCTTCCATCCTCTCCCTCTCCTTGGTCCAAAACAAACGTTCCTTATCGATCCTTGCAGCTTCAATCCTTTTCCATTCCTCTTCTCTCATCATCCTTTGATTTTCTTTGTCTTCCACAGTCTTCATCAACTTCTCAAGCCAAAAATCTTGCTTCTCTATCAACCTCTCCATATGAACACCAATGAACTCCTTGATCTTTTCCTTCCAGTTCATCTCCTCTTTTCTAGTAGATTCGTTTCCTTCAGAGGAGGAAGTTAGATCCAACTCAGAGGAGGAGTTGAAATTGTTAGAAATGCTAAGGCTTTGACTTTGAGTATTGGTCATCAAGGGCTTGTGATGATGAGGGACACTGTTATGAAGGTTCGAAGCGTGGAAACTATGAAGAGCATTGGTCATTATGAACTGCGAGTTGTTATAACAAGATACCGAGTCTTTGGATTCGCCGTATATCGCTTCAAGCTGCCGGAAAAATCTATAGTTTTTACCATCTTGTCGCCGACCGGCTTTGCCTTCTTTCGTCTTTTTATAGTACTTGTAGAGATTCTCGAACTTCTCTCTACACTTCTTGCCACTCCTAGTGTATCCATGTTCCTCGGACATAATCCTAAAAATATGAGGAATACAAACAAAGGAATGAAAAATACATCACTTTCATGATTTCATCATTCATTCAAAATTTGCATAATAATGTACCACAATATTGAATTACGAATTTATGAGGGCTGCACTATTAGACCGTACTAAGTAGCTGGTGACCCACCAAATTAAGATAACATATGTGTTAATTAACTTCCGGACCAAGATTGTTTAAAAGTCACTTTGGACTAATAGATTCACAAGAACATCTTTATGATATATAGATAAGAAAGATACGTGTTCTACATACTTCGATGCACATTATATATACAAAAGAATAGGGAACATGTCTCTGAAGTCACAAAAGATAAAGCAGACATCATTATCAACGACAAAAAGTCAAACTAAGTCAAAGAAGAGATGTTTCTTATTTGGTGGTTATACTCTTTTTATTCTTTTAAAAGCACATGAAGAAATCTTAACAGAAACTCCTAATGTTTGTTCCTTCACTCTCTCGACCAAAACAAAACTAGTACCACAGAAAAAGAGTGAACTGATCTGCCTATGCTTTAAAGTATTTTTGTTTATAACTAACTTGAAATTAAGAAAACCAAGGGGATGATGATGTCATATTCTCCTTATTAATTCAAAAAGTAAAGAAATTAATTTTAACGTGAAAGGTCTAATCTTTAACAAAACAAAGAAAAGGAATTTTGGGAAAATAAAGCTGAAAAAAGAGATCAAGAAAGATATAAATAAAATTAGGGTAAAAAATTGAGACCTAGAAACTTCATCCCAGAGAGGACCCTTTTGATTGGCTTCTTTGAACTTGTGATCAAGACGAGATCTGACCTCCAACAACATCAACGTCTCTTGCCTCGGCCACCTCCCTGTTCCTCCGCCGTCCGTAAAGCCACTAAACCCACCAACACCACTTGTGTTCGCTACATTAGTGTTACTGTTGTTTCCAGCCACCGTAAGCCCTTGTATACCACGTGGCAAGAAACTTATCTCATGGTCGGTGAAATGAAGACGATGGTGCTGGTCCGGCGCAGAAACGAGGTTGAGGCCGAAGAGATCAGAGGAGAAATGAGGAGATGGTTGTGCTATACCGTACTGTGGATGGTTTTGATGGTGATGATCCTCCATTTGTTTTGATTAGATAGAAGAGAAGAGTTCAAGTTCGAGAATGTGATGGAAAAATAATGAAAAAGAAAAGCAAATGTTCCAACCTTTTATTTATTTCCAACGATATAGAAAAGGTTTACTACTGGAAATAAATACTAAACAATTAATTAACAAAACCAAAACAGTATAAAATGTTGAATAGAAGAGAGCGATAGAGGCGGATCGTGTCGTCCATGTAAAAGGAAAGTTGAATTTAAGCTACAGTGACGTTGGTCCCACGCATGACTGTATTATAAAATCTTCTGGGTATATAAGAGCCGGCCTTGACTACAAGCAAGCAAAGCTCAGGCTTGCGGCCGTCAAATATACATCAATTAAATCGGCCATATTTTAACTAATATCTTCGTTAGTTCTGCTGGTAAATGTGTGATGTTTGAGTGAATGAGGTCAAGGGTTCGATTCTTACAAGGGGGAAATCTTTTTTTCTTTTTTTTTTAGGTCATCGATACCCATATTTGGCCAAAAAAGTTTTGCCGCTTGTGGCCACCAATTACACAGGGACGGCTCTGTATATAACTGATGTGTATATACATGTTTTATTTAACTATATATTCACACGGTAAAAAAAAGGGGTTGTAGTAATGTTTACTTTGACTATGTTTTCTTAGTGGAGTTTGAGATTACCTCAAAACATATTTGCAAACTGGTTTTAATGGTGCAGTAGTCAAATGCAACCATTCATGGGTGAACCGACCAGACAAAATATGACAAAATGATATTACTGTTTTACATTTGACTATAAAGTGAAACCTTTTTTTTTATATATACTTGTGTATGTTTTTCTTTCATCTCTATATGGTGGAAATTTTTTGGCAAGTTGTTTATTTTATATTTTACAATTTACACAAATACTACTTCCACACTTGCGTCATACTTTATAAGACTGATAGTTACTTTAATGTATGTGGGGAAAATGTTATGGATACCAAAAGTTTGATGATGTACTTGATTGTGCATCATAATGACCAAAAGACTTTCACCGTCTATTTGATCATTTTAAACGATAAGCTTACCAGATTATAAGAAAATGATAAGGTTGCTTCTTTTTTTTTCTCTTATACTAACTATATATATCTGTTTTGATTCGCAATTCACATCCTACTGATCATAATTAGAACAACATTACGTTTAAAAGTAGCCGTGTGACAGAGGGAATCAGAGAAGGAGTAGCCGCATGACAAATAAGACTGACGAGATATATCCAAAACTCAAGACAAAAATTTAGAGACCATAAATACAAGACGCTGATGCTAAGGGGAAATGCTTGGTCAAGACTCAAGATGCTGAGTAAGCATTCACAAAACAAACATTGTTTCTTATTTGACGTTCAAGAACCAAGACGACGTTTTGTGATTTTTACTTCTCTCTAATACGGCAACCAACATCCTCATTTGGTTTAACGTGCCTTTAGGATGAAAATAGGTATTTGTTTTTGCAGCTTATGTTGAAGTTTCTAAAGTGAAAGAATCTTTAAGTTTCTTGTTATGAAAAAAAAAGAAATTCATAATTAAGATTTCTTATATATATATAACTCGGATGATCTGGACCGAAGCCCAATTAATATCGAGGTCTACTAACTTATTGGGTACGAGCACAACATTCGGAGGGAAGCCCAAAGCTAATTAGCTGATAAGGCATGTTTTGTAGTGGGACCAATCATAATTAGCATTAGGATTTCCTACCTAATTAAGTCGAATGGATAACATTTTAGCTGAAGCGCCGAGCTAATTAGCCGATCCACGTGTTTCGTAGTAACCAATTAGGATAAGGATTTTTAGCCGATAAGCGTGTTTTGTGCCGGACCGAGTAGGATAGGTTTGTTACTCTAGATTCTTTACCTTATTTGGATGCATATCTTTGAGATTTTCTTTATATAGTTTTCCCTTTTAGTAGCTTCAAGCAAGCTTATGTCTAGCACACTCTCTAATACACTAGTACCTTTAACTTAGCTTTGTGTTCGCTCCCTTTCGACAGTTTTGAGAGATGGATACTAGCATTGTAGCTGCAACGACCAATCCTAAGGTTTACATATGTCCATCTTTTGATTTTTTATTACAAAATACAAAAAGTTGTCTCAAAACCTTTGGTTTATTATTCTCTCAGGGAAAATACTTTGCTCTTGCTGTTTGTTGGCTTCTTGGGATTGGATGCCTTTTAGCATGGAACAGTATGCTCACAATTGTGGATTATTACGCTTATTTGTTCCCCGTAAGTGCAAAATGTTTTTGCTTTTATGAAAATACGTATGTTGCTTTTATGCTTATAATCAACTTGTCACTTACCTCGTCTTGATCGTTTTGTTTTCAACTTCCTAGCGGTATCATCCATCGAATATCATTACCATAATTTATCAGTCATTTGCCATTGGAGCACTTAGTGTTCTTGTTTACAAAGAGGCAAGACTCAATACCCGACGTCGAAATTTGGTTGGATACAGTCTCTTTTCCCTTGGCTCTCTTGCTGTCCTAGTGGTGAGTTACATACTCTTTCAATGTTTTTATTTTTCTTGGAATCTTTCACTACAATCATAAGCTTGATGGTTTACATTTTCTCATTATGATATTCTTGCTGATATTAGTTTATCTTAAAAATTGGTATGAGGCAGTTAGATTTAGCTACTTCGGGAAGAGGAGGGATTGGCTCTTTCATTGGAGTTTGTGTCATTAGTGCGGCCTTTGGTCTAGGGGAAGCACATGTTCTCGGTGGAATGATTGGAGATCTTTCTATGATGACACCAAAGTTTCTTCAGGTAACAACAACCCCAATTGTTAATTAGTTATAATAATTTACATCGATTAAATTAATTTGATTAATAAATTTTTTATTTATTTTTTTTCTAATAATCATCTTGATGTATTTCTCTAACTCTAGAATAAATAATTTTTTTGTTTATTTATTTTTAATTAAATTGTTTAACACTTATTTACAATTACTTACCTTATAAAAAAAATCGTTACAATATTTTTAAATAAACGAAAAGTAGTGTTGATTTAGTATCTTATATTTGCTTTAAAATAAACCGTAAATTCAACTAATATTCATTGTCATTAATCCTATATATATGATAGTATATGAAAACATGAAATAAATTCTAATATAGTATTATTTAATATATATACTATAATAAAATTAATTTTTTAATTAAACTTACATTGATTTTATATTTGTGCGTAAGTTTATACAATTTATACAACTAAATTTAAATAATTTAATTATATATGAGTTTGATATATTTTTGTATATAATTAAGTTAAAATTACTTAATTAATAAGTTAAAAAATGTATTTTTTTATATAAACAAGAATTAATGCATGATTTAAATTCTTAATTAGATTAAATAAAAACATAAATGTAATATATTGATGTGACATGTGGCACTCTCTCCACTGCTGATGTGGCGGAAGGATGGAGAGAGTTGGCCAACTTTCATATACATGATTTTAGACAAATTTATTTTGTTTCTGGTAAACATATTTATGTTTGTTTTGGAGTTATACATTTCCACTTTACAGATATTTTTTATGAAAAATTGGAAACATTTTATTTGTTTAACTTAATATGTGATTTTATTGGCTCAAAATGCTAGTATTTTAACTTTTGTTAATGTCTTGGCCATCGATATTAGTCGTTTCTAGCTGGCTTAGCTGCTTCAGGAGCATTAACCTCTGGCCTGAGGCTGGTCACAAAAGCAGCATTCAAAAACTCCAGGGATGGCCTTCGCAAAGGAGCTAGTACGTTTTTATACCTATATTCTTTTAAAATACAAGTTCATTATGTCAATGTTGACCTAATTATAACATTTTTTTGCCAATCTTTAATTTGCAGCTTTATTCTTTGTCGTGTCTGCGTCGTTTGAGTTGGTTTGCGTCCTGTTATATGCATATGTATTTCCCAGGATTCCGATCGTGAAGTACTACCGGGGAGAGGCTATCCTCCAAGGAGCCATAACTGTAGCGGCCGACCTTGCAGCTGGAGGAGGCACCCAAGTGGCACCAACGAACCAGGTACATCATTGTCAAATTATATATAATGGATATAAGTGGATGTTCTTACGTACTTATGAGGGTTAAAACACCTATATTTGAATGCAGGACGTGGAAGCCCCAAGATATGTTCGTCTGCTAAACAAAAGAGACTTGATGTTACTCTACTCAGATCTTGCAGTTACCTTGTTCTCGGTGTATGTACTGACGTTTAGCATTTTCCCTGGATTTCTATCGGAGGACACGGGAAATCACAGTTTAGGAGATTGGTAAGACCAAAATGTTAATTTACTTATGATTATTTTTGGAAAATTGATAACTAACAAAAAACGGTTTAAAACAGGTATGCACTAGTGTTGATCGCAGTGTTCAACGTGTCGGATTTGGTTGGGAGATACGTTCCCGTGGTCAAGAAGTTGAAGATGAAGTCGAGGAGAGGTCTCTTGATAACATCACTGGGACGTCTCTTGTTGATTCCAGCTTTCAACATCGCAGGCATATATGGAAGCCAAGGCTGGATGATTTTCTTGATGTCCGTCTTGGGATTAAGCAATGGGTATTTGACTGTTTGTGTCATAACATCAGCCCCATATGATTTATTGGTATTTCAATTTCTCCCTTTTTTTTATTTAAATTTTCTTGAAGACGAAAATGGTGATAATAGTTTTTATAAATGATGAAAATTGGTTATAGGCACCGGAGCAAAATGCACTAGGAAACTTGTTGGTGTTCTTTATTTCTGGAGGGATGTTTGTAGGAGTCGCTTGTGATTGGCTTTGGTTAATTGGTAAAGATTGGTAAAAATGTTGCCTATTGTTTGACCAAATAAATGTAATTTCTAAAGTCTCGAAAGATAAGTAGAGACCAAAATATGCACCTTTCATTTTAATCATGTAAGACATTTGTCTCTTTCAATAAAGCCCATTTGACATTATCTTTTGATAAGTCATTTGGTTAGTACTTTTATCAAAGTTTTAAAATTTCATATTATATTTCATGAGCTAAAATATGTCTATT